AGTGTACGGACTTCGTCATCATCATCATTGGGATCGTATATTCCGGCGTCGTACATTGATCGCTTGCCCCCGTCAGAGAGAACTGTAAAAAGGAAACGAATTTAGACGGAAGTTGACGGCGAAAGTAACAGACGTTAGAAAGATATTTTGGGCGGATGGTCAATGTCGAAATTACCAGAATAAGCCTCCTGGATTTGCTGAAACCGGCGTTTAGCTTCTCCGGCGACGGCAGGATTCCTCGCGTATCTATCCGGGTGCCATTTCTTCACGAAATTTCAAACAAAAAAAAAACAAAATTTTTTAAAAAGAGAATCATGAGACAAAATTTTGAACGAAACATACTAGATAAAAAGTTCGAAACTCGTGGGAACAGTGAGAGAGAATCGGTATGAGTACCAGAGCGAGCTTTCGATAAGCGGTACGAATGTCGGAGAAGGAGGCATCCTGGCGAATCCCGAGCACCTTGTAGTAGCTAGATCCAACGTTGGATCCTCCTTCGCAAGCCATCTCCGAATCTCTGTCTCTCTCCTCCCTACGATCTCTCTCTGTTTCTCCCCACGATCCTCTCGAACAAGCTACAATCTCAACATCGGAAATCGATTCCAAAGGATACGGCTAAGAATTATGGGCACCGTTGATGCCGATGAGGAGATGAAGAAGAAGAAGAGACGGAGAAGATATATGAGAAGCAATGGCTAGATTTTTTTTAGGGGGGGGAAGAGAACAAAATATCTTTGGAGAGAGAGAGGGAGGGAGGGAGAGGAAAGTTCGAGAGGGTTTGATTTTTCTTGCGTTTCAGATTGTATGAACTAAAAAGCTTTGCGACTTAGATATTTTGTTTGGGATTTTCGGATTCACCACTGGATTTCGACGTATTTACAGTTATTGCCACATCGATACCTAAATCTGACGTGTTGAGTGGGGGGTTTTAACCCTAATAACCCACTTGGGTCGCAGCAATTTCAGGGTACACCACCGAAAAAAAAAAAAAAAATTTGCGACCTTATTACGACTAATATATAACTAATATACAACTAAAATAAGAGTAGTTTATTAGTCGTAATAAGTTGTATATTAGTTATATATTAGTCGTAATAAGGTCGCAAATTTTTTTTTTTTCGGTGGTGTACATTGAAATTGCTGCGAACCAAGTGGGTTATTTGAGCAATATTCTCTGTTGGAGTGCCTATTTGACCATTTCCTCTAGTTCATATTTTTTTTGGCAGAGAATTTGCCCTTTGCTCAAGCCAAAGACGACACCGTTTTGGTTTCTCGGAGCGCCTTCAAATGAAACCAGGCCTTCGAGCCCCTCTTTCTGAAGTGAAGACTTCCCACCGTTAATTTATTCTGCAGTCATTTTCATTTTCATATAATTATCAAGGTTTATATATATTTTTTTAATCAAAATGATTCATTTTGTTTCCTCATTTCACATCGAAGTGTGACAAAAGTTATACAAGATAATTTTGCGAGTATCGCATCTTCCAATGCGAACAAGGACACAGACGTTACGGAGTTACGGACATTCTTGGTGTCAAGATTTGCAGACGAAAATGTCATACGAAATTAGAGAAAAGGTATAAAACTAAAATAAATTGTAAGAAGAATCCAATTGAAACGGCGTCGTTGTGAGCTATCAATTTCAATTCTTCGTAAATCAGTCGATCACTCTACTTGGGAGGAAGGGCTGGTAGAACCAGAAGAAGAAAGAGAACGACAATGAACCCGAATATGCAAATAAATTCGAATTCACCATCACTCTTCGCCTCCATTGACATGGGAACAAACTCCTTCAAGCTTCTGATTGTCCACGCAGACCCTTCTGGAAGATTTTTCTTTCCCATCGAGAAACTCAAAGAACCCGTTGTACTTTCCCGCGAATCTCCGACCTCAATCTCCCCTCAATCCCAGGTTCGCGCGCTCCAATCTCTCCGGAAATTCAAAAGTTTGATCCTCTCCCACAACCTGTCATGTGACCAGACTCGCTGCGTTGCGACGGAAGCCCTGCGCGAGGCGGAGAATCAGAAACACTTTCTGGAGGCAGTCTACGAGGATGTCGGATTCCAGGTTGATGTGCTATCGGGTGAAGAGGAAGCGAGGTTCGTTTATCTGGGCGTGCTTCAGTTTCTGCCCGTTTTTGAGAAATCCGTGTTGTGTGTCGATATAGGAGGTGGGTCTACTGAATTTGTGGTGGGTAAGCGTGGCGATGTGAAATTTGCTGCTTCCTTGAAGCTAGGTCATGTGAATCTGACGCAAAAGTTTGTAAAAAGTGGTCTTGGTTTGGATAAAATGAGAGAGTATATCCGTTCTGTGATAGGTGAGTCCCGAATAGCAGATAAAGTGAAGGAATCTGGTGGTTTTGAGATGGTTGTCGGATCTTCGGGAACAATAAGGGCTCTTGAGAACGCAGTTTTCAGTGGCTATGGAGGTCATATGTGTGGAATGCATTTGGAGAATTTCAAGAGGGATTGGAGATTTAGTAGAAGAGAGCTGAGCAATGTTGTGGAGAGACTATGCAGTGAAGGAGAAGAAGAGCAGATTCGGAGAGATGGGGTTTTCAAGAGAAGATCAGAGTTCATAGTTGCTGGGGCGATATTGTTGGAGGAGATATTCGAGGTTCTTAGTATCAATGAAATGGAGGTGTCGGAATATGCATTGGGTGAGGGATTAATTACTGATTCTCTGGCTAAGGCTTTTGATGGATTGCATGATTTGAATGCCAATGCGAGGTGGAGATCTGTCATGCGGCTTGCCACTCGGTTCAATGGCAGGAAGAGAATGAATTGTGCTGTACACTGTGCTAAGATTGCAAAGGTACATCCTTATCTTCAGCATCTACAAGCAAGTAATCGTGATTTAATTAATTGAGTAGCGAAGATAGATTCTTGTTTCCACCATATCGTTTGATGAGGAAATTTGTCAATAGGGAGGCTTTTAAGTGTTTTCTAGCCATATTTGGTGTAGTTGTTCTTGAATATATTTCCGTTTTCAACTCTGTAAGAGCCGTTTTTACTATACTAAATTTGATAAACAGCCGCCAAATTTCAGGAGATCTTTGCTGGTTTGAGGAAGTGCACTGATCTTGGTTCTGCCTTAGACGACAAGGATTTTGAGTATCTTGAAGCTGCCTGCTTGCTGCACAACATTGGGGCCTCCACTGGTAATAAGGGTTACCATAAGCAGTCTTATCATATCATAAAGGTCGGTTCCACTGTAACATGTATTTATCCAATCTTGTCAACATAAAAAGCTTATCAAATGCAGATTTGAATTCGTATTTGAACCTTTCCTTGGACGGTCTAAATTGTTGTTTTCCTTTTGTTAAGAACGGGGATCATCTCCAAGGCTATACTGCTGGGGAGGTCAAGGTACAGTAGTTAACTCTATAACTTGAAGATTTCCGGCTTATCTGATTAGCCTCTGTTGAATTTCAGCTTATAGCGCTGCTCACGAGATACCAGAGAAAGAAATTTCCGAAGCTTGATCATGCTTCTCTTAAAGACTTCACTAAAGAGGTACCGCTGCTTCTCATCATTCAATTTTCAGATTCTTGTCGTGGTTGTCATGATGCTTGTTCTATCCATTGCAGACAAAGCAGAAGTACATGATCATGTGTTCGGTTATACGGTTAGCTGTTATTCTACAACAGAGTGAGAACATAGATCTCCAAGAAGTTGATTTTCTTGAATCATGTGAAGGCTTCAGACTTGTAAGTCGTTTTTCAATGTACTGTTGCTTCCAAAGCTCCAAACCCTATTGTCTTAGTGGCTCTTGAGTCGCAGTCATTACCTTTCGGAAATGAGTATCTTCATGGGGATAAGATAAGCTGTAAAATGCAAATTTTGGATCCTAGAAGAGTTCCTTTAGTTTCAATTGTTTTCAATTTTTTGGCCCAAGGATATTTATCTCCAAAAAGGCGAATTTTTTTTTAATCTTGCACAGAACTTCAAATCCGTAAAAGATTTTAAATCACCCTGTTTTGTTTTTTTGCTTTATATTGACACCAGAACCAGAGTATGTTTAGTATTGATGTACACCGAAAACAAAGCAAACACACAAATAATAAAGCTAAGCTTGTAGTTACAGTTTATACTGTATTTTGGATCTTTCTTGTGTCCCGAGAGGCCGAGAGTATAAGTCGAATTTCTCGAACCTTGTGAAAGTTTCAAACTTTTAAGTCTGTCTTTCGAATGTTCTATTTTGCTTAGTTTTCCATCGTGGGAAATTGTGTTTACTTTTTGCAGGTTGTGAAACAACGCAGTCACGATAAACTGGTGGAAGATGGTATAGACAATGTGTGCGAGGCAACGCAATTGAAGCAAGAGCTGGAGCGTTTCGAAACGGTAAGTAATCCACTCATCAAACAAAACTCTTTTTCCATTTTCCATTTTAAAAAAGAAAAACATGGAAAAAGCTCCTAACTTTTTCGAGATATCTGTTCTTAGTCTCATGTGAAAAAGAAGTGGATGAAGTTTACGTGATCCTCTCTATATATTTGAATGGTCAAACTTCTAGTGATTGAAAAGTTTAGGTTTTCAGTTTCTGTTTCCTAAAAGGGGCGATACCCAATGCTTGAATTGTTTGCAGTAAGTGACTATCAAACATCAACAGATCTTTACTTATATTACAATGTATGTTCGGTATTTTTATTTTCTTGTGTAAGAAAAGGTCAGAAATTCTACTTGAAATAGAGATCATCAACAAGAAATCATGTAACTTTATGTTGGTTTCTTTGTGTCTTTTGATCTTGCAGCTGTTCAACAAGAAAATGGTGGTTGTATCTTCCTCCTGAATATGGATCAGACAAGACTCCGAGTCCTTTGCTTTGACTTTGAGGTACAAGAAACGTTTCCCATATCTCGTCTTTTGGGACATTTCATTACGGCATCTCTTCATCATCATCACGCCGAAATGCTTTTCATTTGTATCAAAACCTTGTGCATGTCATTCAAGGCCTATGACAGTGTCGGCAGACAGTGCTCTACCTGAGGCTCGAAACAGCAGGCTGTTTATCCTCCGGTGCCGGCACGCAGTGTTATACTGGAAATAGAAAACGACGGTTTTTGTTTTGTTTTTTTTTTTTACAAGTTTTCAAGGGCTAACTGGGCCTGAAGCGGCCCATGAGCGTGTTCGATAACAAGAAGACATAAATACCCTCGAGTATTGGGTTAATTTTCCTTTTCCAGTCTTTGGGACAGTACTGTTCACTAGGAAATGAAATCTCCGAGCTTTGCCGTTCCAAGAACAGATACGGTGGGCCCTCGCACACCGTATCGCTCCCCTTCTCATCTTCCAAACAACCCTTCCGTATCTCTTCCGTATTTCCGTATTGTTCTTTTTCCTTCTTCCAAACAACTCAACCGTGTTTCTCCCATAATCGTCGCCGGTAAGTCTTCTTTCTGGTTTCTGAATTCCCGGTGAAAAGGCTGTTTTTTTTTTTAATTTGCCGAGAAAACCAAGAAGAATTTACGAAATTGATTGACCGAAAAGGTTTTCCTGCTGTATTTTGGTTGCCAGTGTTCTCTCTCTTCGTACGCATTCGAGAAAGTGTCCGCTCGAAAATCTATCAGGTTCTGAGAGAGCCAGGTGTGAGCGGTTGTTGATCACTGTTTCATCTCGAAACATTTGCTGTTTTGACTTTGAATTTCACTTTTGGGAGAAACTGTTTGTATTTACGTTTTGTTTGATTTGATTTCATCTGTTGTCCGGATGATCTCGAGATGCTTGATTCTTCCTTTTTCTTGAATTTTGTGTTGAGTTTGACTTGATATCTCTGCACGAACATTAGGATTTTCACTCGGTGAAGTGGAAATTCAAATTTTCTAGGATTCGTCTTTCATATATCTTGGATGGGTTTGGATCCCGAAGGATCGGTTGCAGACGTACGGGGTGAAGAAGCTACTACTGATCAGGAATCAGCAGGAACTTTGTGTCTACATGCTTTTTCAGATTTGACCTATGTGTCTCCAATTGTGTTCTTATACCTTCTCAAAGGATGTTATGTTCATGGTATGACCTTGCTTCATCCTTGTTTAGTGGTCACTTATGGCTACTTTTTCTTAATCGATTGCATTGATTCTCTAGTTTCTTTCTTTCTTTCTTTCGATGAATGTTCCATTTCAGGCACGTGTAAGGCGGCAAAGAAGTTCCAAGCATTACAACATCAAGTCCACCAAGTGCTACACAATAATCCCAAACCCGGGCCTGCTACTTTCATTGCTCAATGCCTTTACCTGCTCCCTATATTTGGATTATATAGCGAAGGTTTCAGTCATTTGATAATATCCGCCCTTCGTCGTTTCCTCAAATCTGCAACTGGCCGAACAAGTCAAGAAGATCTTTCTTTGGCGAGAAATTTAGCTGCTCAGTTGCTCCTTGCTTGTGAAAGAGGATCCATTGACTATGATGAGAGGGTAATGGAAAAGATCATTAAAGTGTTTGACGTCTGGTTGTCAAGCATTGATGATATCCTGTCACAGCCGGAAGCTTGGAACAAATGTGGTTATGCTACTGGAAGTGCATTTTTGGACCAATACATTTCCAACTTGATAAAATCAAAGTCATACATGATAGCAGTCTCTCTATTAGAGCATTTCTCTATTTGCTTCCCTGGACAGACCTTACTTCAAGAAATGGTTGAGAACAACGACTTCCAAGCTGCGGAGAAGTGGGCTACTTTCATGGGGAAACCCAGCTTATGTATTCTTGTCCAAGAATATGACGCAAGGAACATGCTTAAGCAGGCACATACTCTTATAAAGAAAAGCAATCTCCGGCAGGATTTTCCTGATCTGTATCAGAAGTGCAAAGAAAAGTAGGTTGCAGTTGTTTTTTTTTAATCTCTTGAATACAGCTTTTTTCCTCTTATTTTTTTCTCTGTGATAACTGTACCCAACTGATGAGAAATGAAGGACCAATCGTTTCCCCTCCTAAACATGCAGTGCCCTGAAGATCCTAGCAGAAAAAGCATGTTGGGATGTTGCTGAAGTAAGGGCAAATGGTGATAGACAATTGCTCGAGTATTTGGTAAGCACTTATGTGTAGCTATTCATTAAGAAACTTTTATAATCCAGTGTGGTTATTTATACCAATATGAACGACCAATACCATTTTCTTCTACAAAGAGAGATTTCTTGCTATTTCGATTTGACATTCCTTTGCATGATGCTTCAGTAGGTTCTTAATTTTGGTTGTTTTTAAGGTTTACTTGGCAATGGAAGCTGGTTACTATGAGAAGGTTGATGAATTGTGTGATCGATATTCACTTGAAAATGTTGCAAGAACTAAAGGTATATGCTACATTGTACTACGTTGAGTGTCTTTATAGGGATAAGACTGACATGGTATTCTTGACTTTGTTCAGATGCTGAAGTAGGTTTGATTGGTGGCCGCTTTCTGTGTCTAAATGATTTGGCTGTGGAAGATGTAAATTGGGTTGATGAAGTTGATGAGTTGAGAAAAGCAACTTCATATCTTGAAGGGTGTAGAGTTGTGGGTGTTGACTGTGAGTGGAAACCAAATCATATAAAAGGTAGCAAGCCGAACAAGGTAGTCACTCAATATATTCAAATTTGAAATTTGTAACAGAGGCTTTGATATATTGAAGGATTCTAACCAATATTACGTGCAACTTGTTTTAGGTTTCAATCATGCAAATTGCTTCTGATAGCAAAGTTTTCATCCTTGACTTGATAAAGCTTTCAAATGATGCTTCTGAAATTTTGGATGAATGCCTAACTCAGATTTTGCAATCGTGTAGAATACTAAAGCTCGGTATGGGACAGCTATCCTTGTTAAGATCAGTGAAATGGCTTGTTCTTGTATTTGACTGAGCAATGTCCTCGCTATCTATTTATTATTACTATTATTTTTTTTGCAGGTTATAATTTCCTTTGTGACATAAAGCAATTAGCGCATTCATATGAGGATTTGGAATGTTTCAAGCGCTATGACATGTTGCTAGACATTCAGAATGTTTTCAAAGAACCATGTGGTGGTTTGTCAGGACTAACAAAGGTGAACTATGATGTCTATAAATGTTATGGGAGTTCAATGTCTTAGTCTAATTAGTAATGCGTAGATGATAGATGTCAAATCCGAGTATGATTATTCTCTATCACTATCCTTTCTCTGTATCAGAAAATATTGGGAGTGGGATTGAACAAAACGAGACGGAACAGTAATTGGGAACAAAGACCTTTGAGCCAGAATCAGGTATTGCTTTACTAGTTCTCGCTATAGCTACTAGGACCCAATTGAACCAAGAACAACAACTGCTAGAGAATCCATGTTTTGGTCTTTACATTACTAGGAGCCACAGTCTGGTGAGCATTTGCTCTGTATAATTCTCTGTTTTTTTACCCTTTTTTCTTTGGATTTTTAGTTGCACGTGCTTTAGGTAATTTGCATCTCATTCCACAAAGAGAAGATGGCAAAACAAAAAATTAAACTGCCGTTTCTAAAGAAAATCAAGAATTATTATCTGACACTACTCTGTTGTTTTCCTTTTTGATCGAGAAAATGTTTTTATTAAAATTTTACCTAGAAAATCCTGTAAGTGCATAATTTAGTCGCTTGTTTGGTTATTTATTTTCAGCAATGTTCTGCTTTGTGCGCGCATGTGTGTATATATAAAAACATTGTGAGCATTAGAACAGGATTATGTGCTTGCTCATAGAGAAGCCAAATATTTGATTGTTCAATTGGGTAATAATTCGGGGTTTTGCAGTTAGAATACGCAGCTCTAGATGCAGTGGTACTCGTTCACATATTCAGCCATGTTGGTGATCATCCGCAACCTGTTAGTAGTTCAGAAGCACGCAAGAAAATCCAGTGGAAATCTCATATTGTAAGTCCCTCCCTCCCTCACTGCCTTCAACAATTCAAACCTTGTTTTCAAACATGAGTCTGCATTTACTTCGAAATGCAATTTTAAACCCGTAAAGTTTTTTGCTTTATTCATCCCTAGTGATCTGGTTCATAATTTTGAAGTTTGGATTCAGTATGAAATTGGGTGATTAGTCACTTGGTTCAAATTTCATCATGGATATGAAAAACATTCTAAGTTAAACAAGGTTTAAACTTGTCTCAAATAATGTGATTGAGGGTTAGTACATGGCTGTATTAACAAGGTTTTGAAACCTGAACTTATTTTTCCGGAAAATCTTTCGAACAGGTTTCTCGCATGGATAACCCGAAGAACTCGAAGAAAGAACTGAAACGGAAAAAAGAGTTAGCAGCTGACAAAATCACAGCATCAACAATGGACTGAGCCCATTGCCACAGTCGGTAAGATCATATTGATTGACGTGGAAGCATTTTTTTTTTTCAAATGTTTAAACCTCTCATAGATCACATGAGCAGAGTTTCCAATGTGAATACAACAGTTAAGAAGCTTACAGACTTAGGTATGACCCACTACGTTCAGTTCTTTTTGTCGCAACAAGTATTAAGCCATGGGGCTGAATTCGAGCTCTCCTGAATAGTCTTCGACTAGTGAATCACAATTTTGTATGATTCCCATATAATGCACATGCTTCAAATGACTCCAAACGGTTTCACAGAGTTTGCCGGTCTGAAAGAAATTAATCTAAAACAAGGTTGTTGCATTTACTTATGGATTTGAAGATCTCCAGAAGAACTTCCCCTGCAACTAGCCCAATACTCAGCCACAAGCTTGGAGAAGGAAGAATCAATCTCCATCAGCTTCGACGGTTTATCATATTCGATCAGGTTTCCTGAGAAAATCCGTATCAAACCCCATTGCCATAAAACTATGAGGAAAAAAGAGGGTAATTACAATAAAAAAGAATGCGAGGAGGGTCACAAAGAAAGGGTATATACCGAAGGACAGAACCAAGACCATGTCACTGTCTATTACAGTTGGAACTCTATGAGCAACTGTTATCACTGTGCATTCGGCAAGCTCTTGTCTTATGGTTCTCTGTATAATGGCGTCAGTAGCTGAGTCGATGGAAGCCGTAGCTTCATCCAACACTAATATTCTGTTCTTTTTCAGCAGTACTCTTCCAAGACAGAACAGCTGTCTCTGCCCGATGCTCCAGTTCTCGCCTTCATCGCTTACTTCAACATCAAAAAACCAAACCATGCAAAGAGTTCATCATGTTTCGGAAAGGAACAAACTTTGCTCGATGATTCAAAGACTCACCCGAGGAATCGAGTTTGTTTGGCAGATTGCTAACTGTAGCCTTGAGCTGACACTTCTCTAGTGCCTGCAGAGTATAGAACTACATTTTTCAGTATCTGATTTAGAAATCTCGCAAATGATGTTATTGGGCAGCGTTCGTTATGTATCACCTTCCATATTTCATCATCAGAGTAAAGGCCTAAAGGGTCGAGGTTGGTTCTTATGCAGCCCCGGAAAAGAGTTGGTTCTTGAGGAATGATACTGAGTTTCATTCTCAGATCTTTCAGGCCGATGCTACATATGTCAATTCCATCAATCAGTATACGACCGCTTGCTGGTTCCACCAAGCGAAATAGAGCACTGATTAAGGTGCTTTTGCCACTACCCGTTCTTCCGACAACTCCTACTCTTGTCCCTTCCTTGAATGTGCAAGAGATTCCTTTGAGAATCAGCGGAGCAGTCAGGCGATACCTTATCTGAAACAAAAGTAAGCAGCAATGGTTACTGATCCTTCTTACTTTATCCATCCTCATAGTAAGTAATGAATGATTCAGATTGAAACCATTGGTTCTTACCTTAAGCTCCTGCAACTGTATTGTACCATTGGAAGGCCACGAGGACGGCGGCCTGTTTTCCTCCACAATTGCTGGAGGCTCAGCCGGTATGTGCGTATACTGTTGAATCCTTTCTACTGAAATGATGGAATTCGATAAGGTGCAATACCATCTGGTCAGGAAAACCTGAGATCGCGTCAGTGTTAATGCATAGGAGAGTGAAAGCCCTACGAGCCCTGCAACACCAAGTAATGTTCATGCAAAACCCTTCAGCCCAATCAGAAGAGGGGAAAGATATATAAAAGAGTTGGATGAATGAGTGCACCTGGAGCTATGTATTCATTAGGAATAAGGATGAGAAGAAGAGCACAAGTGATTAGAGTCAAGTTTTGAAGAGTCTCTATCCTCATAATCACCCACTCCATGGCTGCGTTTGATAGAAAGAAAAGCCCAGCATCCATGTCTATGAGCTTCAGGTAGTTTTTAAAGAACCTTTCTTCTGATCCGAAAGCACGTATCGTCACAACTCCGAGTGTCGTCTCTGTTGCATAGTTCATTACCGGAGCTTTCGTTGTTCCGTTTATCCTAATTAGTTCCCTTGCAGAGGCAAGATAGTAATCCTTTCTCAGCAAAGAAGAAACAGTTGTTAGTAATGGCTTCCCTTTTTGCAGGAACCAGGGGGGATAAAGATATATGTAACTAATTACCTGAACATACTTCGTTGCTGCCATAGCAAGAAGAGCGACAACGATTACTTGCCACGTAACCGATGCCATCACAAGAATATTTGCTACGAGCTCAAAAGCCGTACCCACCACGTATATAAACGAGAATGGAATGTTGAAATCTAAGACGCTCAAATCAGATGAAGCCTGCATTATTAAATACCAAAACAATCAGATCATATCAGAATCCAGATTCAGCGGTAAAGCCAAGGGATCTTACTCGGGTCAGGATCCGACCAACAGGAGTAGAATCGAAGAAAAGCATCGGAGCTCGGAATATTGAACTGGTGAAACCAGCAAAGAAGGCCTTGGAAGCTTTTAATCCAAGCTGAGCAACTGTAAAGCCTCTCAGGTACACAAAACCGACACCAAGAGCCGAGAGAATACTGTAAACTCCAATAACCACTGTTGTAGTGATTTCAGGAATCTCAATGGCAAAGGCTAGCCAGTATGTTGCTGAAGCTTGTAAAGCAACAAAGCCAACCTGAATCAATAAGCATGACCAGAGATGAAACCATCCATGGGAGACATTGATATAATCCATGAAAGGCTTCCATCCAACATAACCCGTCTCTTTTTCTTCTTCTTCGGTAAGTTGAACTCCATGAACATTATTCTGTTCAACAATATCATCTTCTTTGTTTTCAACAACAGTGATATTTCCTCCCCATTTGTCTCTATCTTCATTCTTACTCATTTGAGGTGGTAATACAGTTACTGCATCCTTGTGTGCAGTCACAAGCTGTTGAAATGCAGCTCCCATCTTCAAGAGCTCTTCACACTTACCCGCCTGAGTGATCCTTCCTTCCTCCATAACCTGATCAAGATCATCAACATAAATAACCGATAAGGTGTAAAAGTATATAACTCTGTTCACGAGCTACTCCTACTTACCAAGATTTGATCGACTTCAGAGAGAAACTCCACTTGGTGAGTGACTAGAATGACAGTTTTATCTCTTAATGAGTCCACAACACATTCCTGCAGTCAGAAATCTCCATATTAACCAGTCATTTGTATAAAATGCTTAACTAGGAATCATCTAATACGAGCATTCAGTTACATGGAAAAGTTCTCCGGCTGTATGTGCATCCACGGCACTGAAAGGATCATCAAGGAGATAAATATCAGCATCATTATATACAGCACGAGCGAGCTGAATCCTTTGCTTCTGTCCTCCACTCAAGTTAAGCCCTCTTTGCCCTATTTCTGTAAGATCGCCATTGGGAAAACTCTCTACGTCCTTATTCAAAGCACAAGCTCTTATAGCTGCATTGTATCTTTCAGTTTCCATCGGCTTTCCGTAAAGAATGTTGTCTCGGATATTACCACTCTGGATCCAAGAAGTTTGAGATACATATGCAATCGATCCATACACTTTTACCTGTTTCAATGACGGAAACCGGGAAAAGATTCAAACATTATTTAGAAGAAACTGAGGGTATACATATATATATATATGAAACTCGGTAGCTGCTTCCTTACCATTCCAGAAACTTTCGGTATTTCTCCAAGTATTGCATGAAGCAGCGATGACTTTCCTGCCCCGACGGGTCCACAGACCGCAACCTTCTGGCCATGCTTTATCCCCAAATCTATGTTTTGAAGAGTTGGAATCTTGATCTCTGGATCATACCAACCGAAGTTACCTGTTTTTATGTTAACAACTTCTACAGGTTTCTCCTGCTCAGTTTCAGTTCTTACAACCTCGTCGTCTTGCAGGAAGTTGTTAATCCTTTCAAAAGAGACATTCATTTGGATGGTTGCAGAAATAGCCTCGGGCAGAACCTTGGCGGGTTCCGACATGACTCTCAGTGTAGCTAAGACGGTGAAAATGGTGCTTGCATTCAGTGGAGCACTCTTCAACAGAGCACACCCTACAAATATCACGGAAGAAACTACTGTAGGGGACATCCAATACAGAAAGGAGCTGACGGCTTTCATCAGTTGAGTCTTAGCCAGCCACTTGAACTCGTCGGTACGATAAGACTCAATCCTTTTCTTGAATTCCTCTTCCCATGACTGCAGCTTAATGACTTTCATACTGTTGAGAATTTCTGAGGTGGCTCTCAACCGCTTATCCTGTGCAACCATAAACTCTGCCTGGAAGTTCTGAAGCATCTTTGCGAAGGGTACGTTGAGGAAACTGCAAACGAGAAGAAGGCATAGGCCCGGGAAAGCTCCCGTCCCAACGATTCCGTAAAGCACGGCTGTAGAAAGCAAAAGCTGCAGGGAAAGAATCCATCCAGTATGGAACCACCAAAGGAATTCTCCCATACGATAAGCATCCATGGCGATATAATTCACGATCTCTCCTGTGGAATGCCTTTTCCTCCCCAAGCTCGATAACTTCAGCTGCTTTCTATACACAGCAGCCATTAATGCAGATCGTATCCTCATTCCTGATCTTCTCGCAGCAAAATGCCAATGCCTCGTTGTCAAAGATTCAACCAGCTTCAGTATTATCAGGCAAACTAAATTGAAAGCACCTAAGAGTCCATCCAGTATGGAACCACCAAAGGAATTCTCCCATACGATAAGCATCCATGGCGATATAATTCACGATCTCTCCTGTGGAATGCCTTTTCCTCCCCAAGCTCGATAACTTCAGCTGCTTTCTATACACAGCAGCCATTAATGCAGATCGTATCCTCATTCCTGATCTTCTCGCAGCAAAATGCCAATGCCTCGTTGTCAAAGATTCAACCAGCTTCAGTATTATCAGGCAAACTAAATTGAAAGCACCTTGAAGAAGATCTTTTTGCTTACTGTTTGCATACTCCACGAAAGCATAAAGCATGAGAGGAAGGGATACAACGGAAACTATTCCGAGGAAGGCACAAACTGCAATGTACATGTTTTCCCTTAGGTATACTTTCAAAACGGCTCTAAAAGCCAACTTTCTTTTGTCCACTGACCTCTTGTCCGAAACAAGAGCATCCCAAGCTTGAGAAAATTTCTCATAAGCTAATTCAGCTTCATCCTCAGGGACTAGACTCGGGATATCTTCGAGGGCTAATGGTTTCGTGTAGCCTTCTGAGAGCAAGGGATTGATCCAAGAAAATGATATTCTGCTGAAGAACCCGGCTTTGGATAGTGTCAGCAAGTTCTTTCTAGGGTTTTCAGTCAATAGAGGATCAGAAAGACCTGTTTCCCTCCGATCTTGAGAGGGAGAATCAATGGAGTTCTTGTAGCTGCAAAAGAGAAGCAAAAGACTTGATGGCCAAGTTACGATTTCAGCAATCGAGATACCATCTCCTCTCGCTAAAATCTCTGTTTTCACAGCTGAATCCAAGATTGCAAAAGTGACCCACCAAACAGATATGAGAATCTCAATCCATTTGGAGCCATTGGCAAGCAATGTGACTGAAAACGAGGCCCAGATGATTCCTCTGACAAAGAAAACAAACCAAGGCAAGCCACTGTCGTCTCTGGAATCGCCGATCAGATTCATTAATCCAGCACCGATGTAAGCGATGCTTGTGACAGAACAAAGTATGGCTGCTGTCACAAAGAACCAGTTCTTCTTGTTTCCCCGAACTATACTGTGTTTTGAAATAAAACCAATTACGGCGAGCAGGTAGAAGGTAGAGAGGAATATCAGATTTAAGAGGTCAATGACTGTTCTTTGGAAGCAACAAGAGGCCAAATCCAGTTCACCGTCACACCATGGAATGGTCCCTGCATCAAATCCATCAAGCCATGGCTTATCAAATCACCAACACACACACACACACACATATATATTCAGTACAGAGATACACATGCGACGACAAGAAGAAGAATTCATGTTAACTAAGGCATTTCATCGAACACCAAAGACAGCAAAACGAGAACTGGATGAACAGAAGTCCAACACCTCCTTCATAATCACAAGCACAACCATGAAATTAAGCAGATTGACGACAAAACCATTTAAAGAAGGAGACAGGGGACTTGAAACTCGGAGAATATGGGAAAACCAGTAAGTGGGTCACTGTCTTACAAAGAGAAAACGCCATTGAAGAAGACAGACAACTCCAAGAGCTGAGGAAAAACAATGTCAATTTTCATGGAAGGCCAAAAAACAAAAGGAAAAAAAATGGAGCTTTTAGAATTTGGTCATCGTTTTAACGTGTTAAACACGTCAAAGCGAGCGACAAACACGTGGTGGCAGCAAGGCTCAAATTTTCTAAGTCACATTTTTCGTTTATTAACCATTTAATCTTTTGTAAAAATGTTTATACACCCACTTTTGTAAAATTAATATAAGCCAATTCCTTTTCAAACATACTATTGCTTAAAAAAATTTAAAACAGAAAGAAGTAAAACAATATAAAAAATTTAAAGGAAAGTATGAGAATAAACTAATAGATAATTGAAATATGAATTCTTCAAAACATTTTTTTTTTATCATTTGATTTGATTTTATTGATATTATATATTTTTCATAATCTTAAGGGCCAAATCTTTTTAGCACGTGGATGGTCAACTATTTATTAGTTCGTATTTAAATTTTTTTGTTTAGATTAAAAATATTTAGTGTTAAGAGATTTTCGTTGTTATTGGTATTTTTTATTTTTATATTCTAACTATATTTAATCAATATTTTATTAATTTATATTGTAACTCAAAATATAATTATATACTCCCTCCGTTTCAAAATGTTTGTTGTTTTAACTTATTTCACATTTTTTAATAAATAAAAATAAAAGTCATATATACCCTTTATTTAATAATAAAAACAATATTATTATTAATAATGTATTGGAATTTGGTAAGGATAAAATTGGAAATTATTTAAAAAAAATGTATTGGAAATGTAAAATGACAAATATTTTGAAACATAGATAATAATCTAAAACTACAAATATTTTGAAACGGAGAGAGTATTAATTTTCGTTCATCATTTTATATCACACAGCTCACACAGCTCATAGCATTAATGGGCGTACAATATTTTCTTGGATTTGGTGAAAAATAAATGGTAATTAATTCGCCATTATTCATTATTTCAACAACTCTCCTGACCTTAATCGCCTCACTCCATCACTCGATTGCTACCCGATCTCAGTTCGATCTCATTTTATTGATAAAATATTTATTTAAAAAAATGGGTTTTCAAATATTTTATAATTAATTCGGATAATTTTTTTTTTTGGAATTGGTACCCTGATAATGGTTTTTTTTTAAAGATTTTCCCTTTGCAATTTTTAAAAAGTTAATTTCGCAACTAAAAAGGTAAAAGACGATTTATAGTGTTAAGTAACCAGATTTGACACGTGCGGTTTGACATTTGGTTCGAGACTGACTGTTTGGTATCCAAATCATTTTGGCCATCTCTGTTGCTGGTGTCTTGTTTCGGGATACCAAACAGTGTGCATTACTCTTTGATAATGTAATTTTAACAAATAAAAATCTGGATAACGACGAAATTCTTCATAATCAATGATCCTATATTATGTTTGTATCTGAATTTTTATTTGATATGATCCGATAAATTCGTCGGGCGATTCAACATGAAAGATGATATGTGTGTGTGTATATATATATGAGATTTTTTTTTATAGGATCTGATACACATCCATTTTAGGGCTTTGGATGGTTTTTTAGATTTAGGGTTTTTGTGCATATCTTTAACTTCAATTTCCATATCATATTTAATTTGTATATACATATTATTTTGTTTGTTTATGATTTGACTCATGATGAACATAAGATATTAATATCAACCTCTTTAAAATTTATATAAAATATGATCAGTGGACCAATAAAAGAATGCAGAAAGAGATAAAATAATACTAAACATGTAATATTTATTATTCTAACTTCTTATCAATCTCTTTGTTTTCCACTTCTCCTGTAAAATTTATGAGGAAAAAATATATATACAATGATAGATCTTACAAGGAGAAAAAAAAGGATAATTCGTTCAAATTTACGATATTTTACTGATTACCCTAAATTCTATGAAGATAAAAACAGATGAAAGTGAAACCGATTTGTAAAGTACAAAGAAAGATACATTATACATATATTAAATTTTAATTCGTGTAAATAAAAATTCCGTAATATCATAAAACTTAATCGATATTTTGATTATACAAATTCACGAAACTTGAGATCGGATAATTCGTGTAAATAAGAATTCCGTAATATCATAAAACTTAATCGATATTTTGATTATACAAATTCCGAAACTTGAATTCAAATTCGATGATCGGATAATTCGTTTCGTTGCTCCAATTTTATTACAGCATCACATGAATATTCCATTTTTGTACAATCAACCCGTGGATAAAATGAAATACCCGAAAATGGACATTTTTCAAACCCAACACTAATAATTATTTCACGGTCGAATAATAGCAAACCTTCAGAGAATCGACGTCACCATCTGTCTCTTTAGCCGAAGATAAGAGCGATACGTATGCAGATTATAGAAAGCTCGGTCTTTCTATTTGCGAATTTCCAGATTTGCCCTTTCAGAGGGTGGAAGGCAAGGAAGTCAGGGAGTTGCACTTGCACCCCTTTTTTTTTCTTTCTTTTTTTTCCATGTGAAGGGAGGGTGAGATAGAAAGTTTATTGTGTGAGTTAGATTTTTGTTCGTCAAAATCTGGGGATCTTCTCAACGCTGATTGATCGAATTCTTCAAATTGAGAGAAACCTATGGGCGAGCTCAAATGGAGAACTTGAAATCGGAAGCTATGGCTTTCCTCGATTCCTGATCTATTGTTTTTCCTCATCTTCGAGGTAATTTGTCGGCCGTTGATTCCTGTATCCACTAGATTAACAGAGAGAGATAGAGAGAGAGAAAGAGAGAGAGAGAGATAGGAAATGAACGGAGGTGATGAGGTCGTCGCAGCTCCGGCAGACCTACCTCCCCCGCTGGAATGGAGATTCTCTCAGGTATTCGGTGAACGCAGCGCCGGAGAGGAAGTTCAAGAGGGTAGGTATCGTTTCACTTGTCTATGTATATGGATGCGTGTACGTGCTTCTGTGCTGCTTGAATAGCTTCTGCTTTGTAGTTTTGCCATTGGACCTAATCCGTGTCACTCGACATTAGGGTTTGTTTTGAACGTATAGATCTTCTCGGATTGTCGAGTAAAATTACATTTTTCGTTCGTGGGTTGTTGAAAAGGTTTGTTTTTGTGTCCAGTTTTGTAGATTTTTGTTTCTATTTTTTCGATGTGTAGTGGATTTCTGTATACCAGCTTATTCGACGATTTTTTGAGTGTATAATTATTGAAGTTTCTCAGGTCAGCTCGTTTGCATCTGCCTGTTTTCTTAGCGAACTTGGTGAAGTTTTACAGTTCTCTTCTTTCTGCATGTAGCTATAGGTTGTAGTTAGGTTTGATCTCTGTCAGGTAAAACAGAGGAAGGTGAATGATCTCACTGAGGTGGGATGTTAGATCATTGGTCTGGGGATTTTGAGAGCGTGCATTTTTGGTTAAGAGGGTCGTGACCTTTTACTAGAATATGTTATTTAGTGTTGGAAGTGTTTCCCTTTTTATCCTGAATGAAATTCAAAACTGAAACTGTTTGCTTGGTGTTTCTCTGCAGTTGATGTAATTTCTGCAATTGAATTCGATAAATCTGGTGACCATCTTGCTACCGGGGACCGTGGGGGACGAATTGTTATCTTTGAGAGAACAGATACGAAGAGTGTATGCCCTCTTAGCCTTTGGAAAAAACATTATCTGATTCTGATATTTGGTTTTGTGTTATGATGTCTTGTTCACACTATGATTTATAGCTTCGTGGATCGAGAAGAGATCTTGAAAGAACTGACTTTCCACCACGCCACCCAGAGTTTCGATATAAAACGGAATTTCAAAGCCATGAACCTGAGGTATCTGTTTGATTTTTCGTTTTCCTCGCCACATTTTGTGTTGTACCTTGTTTTAGCTTCATCTTCTCGATCCTTCTCCACCAGTTTGATTATCTGAAGAGTTTGGAGATAGAGGAGAAAATTAATAAAATCAGATGGTGTCAAACAGCTAATGGCGCCCTTTTTCTCCTTTCAACAAATGACAAGACCATCAAGTTTTGGAAGGTGAGGGAGTTCCTGTATGAGATTTGTCTGCCTCTGGATCATTTAATGTCTTGTTAGTAGCTCTGTCCAAACCATCATGTTTTGTTTGTGGGCATTTATGTTGTATGATGGGAAAAATGAGGTACTTTGTCAACCAAGTTTAGGAATGTCAAAGTTGGATAAAGGGTCCTGGATGTTGAAATTGGTTATTGGCTGGTATCTCTTGAAAGTTGTGCATCATGAATGATGATAGTATGATGGATATATGTTTCTGTATTTCTTAAGAGTTCGAGCTCTTTAGGTCCCTTTTGGTTGTGAATTTCTTCCTCCATCTTCAATTTCACATATAACGGAAAGCATTGGGAAAATATTTCGCTTGTCAGATTTTAAGCACGAGGCTATAATAGTTTGCTACTTTTCCACATGAGGGTTTCTCTTTCATCCTTGTTTATGGACTTTTAACCAACTACCAGTTAAGGTTGATATTTAAAGGCATTTCATTCTTTTTTCTCATGTGTGATTTTATAGGTTCAAGAGAAAAAATTGAAGAAAATTTGTGATATGAGTAAGGATCCGTCGAGAGCTGTAGAAAATAGCAATAATGCTAGTTCAAGCAGCACAAAATCATGCTTCATGAATGGGGGACTACCTGACAAAGCATACAATTGTTTAAGTAATGAGTTCTCATTCCCCCCGGGAGGCATCCCATCGCTGCGGTTACCAATGGTAATTGTACTCTTCACATTATTATTGTGTTCAGTTTTTTGTCTGAGGCTTGGCTAGATATTTTGGCCGTGTTTTTTTTTCAGTATGAACTGGAATACTAAGGTAAAGGATCAAGCCTGACCAACAGAAAAGAACCAAGGAACTTGTTTAAGCCTCTGGTGGGCATTATTCTTTAACTCACTTGCAGGGTCAAACTGATGATTCTAAGTGCCTTGAGGAATTATATTATTGTGGTGTAGTGTTGTAGGGAATCTCAATTTCGTAGTAAAGCAAAATTAGTTGGTGATTTGTTCTCATGCTTAGACTAATAGGTTTTTTGTGCAACCCACAGGTAACTAGTCATGAAACTAGCCTTGTAGCTAGATGCCGGAGAGTGTATGCTCATGCGCATGATTATCATATCAATTCCATTTCAAATAATAGGTAGGTTCTCCGTCCATATGGTACTTGACTTGTTTTCACTCCTCTGACTATCTTGGAGGTTGCATTGTTCATCCTGTTGTTAACTTTTGATAGAAACTTGTTTCTTCTTGTTATGGGTGCTTTGAGGGATAACTAATTGTTATTATGAGGTGGTATTCCAAAAATTGAGTAATGACAGAATGTGTACCAATAGTCAGAAAGATAAATGGACATCAGATCAACTTTAAGAAATATGCGACTGATTTATTATGGCTATAATTTTCCATGGAAAATTTTGAGATATCATAAGTAGGTTTACATTTCATTGTCTTCTGTTCCTGCAAAATTTTCTTGTTTATTATACTTTTTTTTGCTTTAAAATTAACGACTCTGGAATCCACGAATCCGTACTTGCATTGATCATGTCCTTCCTCATGATATTTCCTCTTAAATTTGAAGTGATGGTGAGACATTTATCTCTGCGGATGATCTGAGAATAAATCTTTGGAACCTGGAGATAAGCAATCAAAGTTTCAATATTGTTGATGTCAAGCCTGCAAATATGGAAGATCTAACTGGTAACCCGCATAGGCTTGTCAATTTTTTTTTTTTTAAGTATACTTTTAAAAAACAATATTCAAGCTATGACTAAATTTGTTGCAAACAATTGTCTTAGTTCTATATATACCTTTCATGGTGTGGTGGAACCCCCTCCCCTCCCTTTTTTTTTTTTTTTTTTAAGTATACGTCTCCCAAATAATCAATTAATTGGTGCTGTATGGTATATCCGGGTTGGTAAGTTGGGTTGCAATAGAAATGTCTAGCTTTAATATTACGCATAAATTGAGTTGACTGCATTAATGCATTATACTCTTTTGGTTGGTTCCTACAATTTTGGTTTGTGTTGAAGGCAAAACCTGCCATTCAAAAGGAAGTTATTCTGAGCCTTGATTTGCATCCTGTTCTGTTCTTGCAGAGGTTATCACATCAGCGGAATTTCATCCTACTCATTGTAATACATTAGCATATAGCAGTTCGAAAGGCTCAATTCGCCTGATTGATATGCGACAATCAGCTTTATGCGACTCCCATTCAAAATTGTAAGTCTTTAGACTGGTAGTGCTGTTACATTTCTTCAGAATTCAGCATTTCTTGAAAGGAAGGTCAGAAAAATGCCGAATTTTCTTTCTTTCATCAAAAATATGATTGTTAACCTCTCGTATTCCACAAGAAAGAAGTTTTGCTTTGTTCCAACAGTTGTGGAGACAAGCAGACTGAAGTAGCTCCTTTAGAAATTAATAAACACTTTTCTATTAAAATCTGATGCTGTGCTGTTCCATTACTTATAGGGTGGAAGCAAATAACTAACAAAAATCTTTTGTAGTGTTTTATTAGCACCTGGTAGTAACAAAGAGGTCTCACATTGTTTCTGCAGGTTTGAGGAACCAGAGGCACCGGGTTCTAAATCTTTTTTCGCAGAGATTATTGCTTCAGTTTCAGACATCAAATTTGCGAATGGAGGAAGATACATACTTAGCCGTGATTACATGACACTTAAGGTTCGTACTTTTGAACATGCTCTCTGACTCGATATGTCTAGTTGTTGCACTGATTTCAGATAAGGCATGCCCCTGTAGTAACTTATGACTGGCTTGAAAGAACCTTGTAAAGAAAACTTGACTAAGAGTTTGTATTTTGTCCTTCAGTTGTGGGACATAAACATGGATTCAGGTCCAGTAGCAACATTCCAGGTTCATGAGCATTTGAGGCCGAAGGTCAGTTTTCTATACTTTCGAGTGTTGCATTTGATGACGCGAGGCATAGCTGAAGGTACTTAGTTTTTTTTCTTCTGGTTAACAGCTCTGTGATTTATACGAAAATGACTCCATCTTTGATAAATTCGAGTGTTGTCTAAGTGGTGATGGATTGCGAGTAGCTACAGGTTCTTACAGGTGCTTCCCTTTTGTTCTTTTCTTTTCGATGAACTATATGGTTCCTGGGAATTATGTAATAATCATTTCTTGCTTTTTAATGCAAATTGTGAACCCAGTAATTTATTCCGTGTATTTGGTGTTTCCCTGGGGAGTACTGAGGCTACAACCTTGGAGGCCAACAAAAATCCAATGAGGTAAAATAATGGTTGCCATTAGAAGTGGTATTACCAACTTCAAGCATCTTTTTTCTTCATTTTTCCCCTATTTTTCCTAAAGATTGATACAGTGAAAAATTTGTATTGCAATTAAAAAGGAAACAAGTTCCAACTCCCTCGAGACCTTCCAGATCACTTAGAGGAGGTTTGTATGTTTTTTTTCTTCTTACTGCCATTTATCTGATAAGGAGATTATGAGTGATTTATAAACGATATCGGGTTTTGGTAACAGGAATAGAGACTTCAGGGGTCGATACGAATGGAAATCCATTCGATTTCTCGACAAAGTTACTGCATGTGGCTTGGCACCCTACAGAGAACTCAGTCGCCTGTGCCGCTGCCAACAGTTTGTATATTTACCATGCTTGAGAAAAGCGAAGCAACATTCAGGTTTCTAACAGTGAGAGCATTGGAAGTTGCTCAGTGGCGATCGGATCTCGGCTCGGAAAAGCGAGTCGGGTATTTTTTCGTTCTTCCCCCGATGGTATGAATTGTGGCTCGGTTCGATCTCTCAGCCTAATGAATGAATGAATCATCATCCATTTTCTGTAGTTTTATAGAAGATTGCACTCATGTGCAATGAGATTGTGTGCTGTTGGGTCATAGGAATTTCAGAGCTTTGGGTCAATGAATATTGAAATTTCTTATTTCCTCTTTGGGTCTTTAGCATTGAACGGTTTGGTTGGGGTTATTAGATTTGGATTAATAGAATTTGTCAACTACTGTTTTTTTTTTTTTGGAACTTCCAAAGTGAGTGGAAGAGTTGTTTGTCCCTTGTAATGTTTGGAGTATCCTCACCAAAGTGCAACGGATAGTTGTTTAGATGTAAGAAACTATAAATTTTTCAATATAAAAAAAATTATAAATCTTTTAAAATAAGCAAATTTAGCATCCCATATACCCATAATTTAATCAATTTTAATTTATCAAACCAGTAACATGTGTACATTTACATATAAAATCCCAAATCTTTATACCTCAGATCTTTGTATGTACATATATATATATGTACTTCCATTAACAAAATTTCCATGTTACAAGTTCTGAACTCTTTCAAATCCATTTCAATCTGAACCGTACACCTGTCATCACGCAGACACATCCCAGCCGTAGAATTCACGACAAGTGACACCATCATCATCAAATTCAAATGGTCTCCTCTCACTGACGACGTGTTGACACACAGATGGTATCAGCGATTACGGCAGCTTGACGCGAAAGACAAAACCCTTCCATCTGGTTCGATCTGACAAACGGACGGTCCAGATTCATCCATCTTCCTCTTCAATCTTAATGATAAAATTCCTTCCGTAAATGAAAGTTTGCTTCACAAGCACGCAATCCAAGTGTCCACTGTCCAGTGAGCGATGCTCTCGAGGTGGATCATGCACTCATGCATATGCTTAATCGTTGTTTAAGCTTCTTTAATCATGTTTACTTTTAACCTCGTAATTAATTAACCCTCTTATTATATATATATATATATGTTACATTTTTATTATTTTAAATCGATATTTGTACACGTGTGCAACTTCTGGAGGCTTATTCGATAGTGGCATCATCAACATCATGATGCGCGCGTGACTTTGATTGGCAATTCGGCGGCTGGACTGATCACGCAATGAACAGAGTGGAGAAGAGTTGAAGGGGTATTTCTGTAATTGCAATATCTTCTTAGAGCTGCCGGTAATTTTGGTAATATCCATATCAGTTATTTAATATTTTGTTTGTCTTTAAGCTTTTCGATTTAAATTGTTCCGTGATATAATGATAATATGTAATACTACGATAGTTTATTATTGGAATTAGGGTTGTGGATATGAGAACCCAAAATATCAAATACCCAAATTTGAGTTCCATATTGGATTAACCTTTATATAAAAACTCCTAAATCCTAACAATCTACAAATATTCGAATACCCTTTTTTTTTTTTTTTTTTGGTACGATGGGAAACCCCTATCCTACAACCCTTCGGGTCGGACACCGGACACCGCAACGTCTCTCAGCCCATAGGTCGGACGAGAACGACATCAGGACAGCATCGCGGATCTGAGAAAACTCACCGCCCTACACAGTAGCCGGCAAACCACGCAGAACAGGTAAACCAGCTTCGTAAAGCTGAACGGCTCAAGGGGAGTACCATATCTGGGATTCGAACCCACAATCTCATGGTAGAGGGGGGTTGTCATTAACCACTAGGGTGGGGGACTCCCCGATCATTTGCTCTTTGTGTAAACGAATACACATGTATATATTGTGTTATTGTTACTATTATAAAATTCGAAAATAAAATTGAAACTAAAAAAGAAACATGCATTTGAGACATAATAACTTTATTTGTTTTCGACCGCAGCGATAAAAACAAATTCTTCTAACTTTTTTTTTATAAATTATCGGATTAATTTATTTTATTATATAGATACAAACTCGACCACTTTTCTATTTTTTTATATATAATAACTTATTTTTTTCTAACTAGATTAACACAAATCTTAGACAAATCTAACATTTTTTTGACTGAACATATTTTAATACGAAACCCCCAAGAAAATGATATTACCAATAACTCTTACTGAATCAATTGGAGTCAACGAGACAAAGATAGAAGTCAAAACCTAGGAAGTTAAACCCCAAGATTATCAAATATTCAATGGTCTTTAATTAAACTAATCATCGTTAGTACGCTAATACACATCAAAGCACCGATTAGATACTCTATAAAGACTCTGGTTCCGGACACTTTGTTTTGGTGTTTAGCAAGCCACTCTCCCCCCCCCCTCTCTCCTCTTGACCAAACCCAGAATCTAGAGAGAGAGTGTTCGATTCGTCATCTACAGATAAGAACCGTTTCTCTCTCTAAACAAAGCATATATCTTCATTCCATTCTCTCTCCTTCCCACCACTTGAAGATTCGATCTTTTTTTTTGGCAGTGTTCTCTGATTGTCAAGAGAAAAAAAAAGGGCGTCTATTCCAGCATAAATTTATCCCAAATCTCTTTTTTTGCGTGGATGATATTTTTTGTTCTTCAGAAACTGTTCCCATTCCCATCTTGGAGAAAAAAAAGTTTGTCTTTATTTCCATTTTACTGAATTTTCGTGGAAAAAGGCGAGCCCTTTTTTCTAGGTTGTAAGAAAAACACAAAACTGTGTTAAAAACGTAACCTTTGGTTTTGTTTTACGTAAAAGGTCTTTCTGTTCTTCAGAAAGTATTTCTGTTTTAGGAAAAGTTTGTCTTTTTGTTCTTATCTCCTCTAGTTTCTTGAATCATCGAAGAAAAACACAAACCATTCAAAATCCTTATAGATCTTACGGTTCTTCAGTTTCCCGAATCATCAAAGACGAACTTTTTCGGTGACAGAATTTTTTGGGGGAAAACGTTGTAAGAAAGAAGCCATTTTTTTCCCAGGAAAATGCAGGATCAGTCAGCAGGATCGTATTACCAAGCGATGATGCTGAAACAGCCACAGTTTCCAGAGCAAGAACAACTAAAGTGCCCTCGATGTGAATCGATGAACACGAAATTCTGCTACTACAACAACTACAATCTCTCGCAGCCTCGCCACTTCTGCAAGAGCTGTCGGCGATACTGGACCAAAGGTGGAGCCCTCCGCAACATCCCCATCGGCGGTGGCTCTCGCAAGAACACCAAACGGTCCAAAAAGACCCCCTCCGTCAAAAACCCAGATCAGAATTCCGGGTCTGGGTCGTCTAGGGTTCCGGGTCAGGGCCATGATCCGGCCGGACTGATGTACGGTTTGCAGATCGGAGATCAGGACGTGAAGGGTGCGGATTTGGGGGGGAGTTTTAGATCTCTGTTGGCCTCGAATATGCAGCTCGGAGGGATTATTCTTGACGGGTTCGGAGAAACCGGGTCGGGTTGGGACCTGGGCTTGGGTTTGCCGCGGAGCGACTCGGTCAACGACGAGGGGAGCTGTCGGCGATACTGGACCAAAGGTGGAGCCCTCCGCAACATCCCCATCGGCGGTGGCTCTCGCAAGAACACCAAACGGTCCAAAAAGACCCCCTCCGTCAAAAACCCAGATCAGAATTCCGGGTCTGGGTCGTCTAGGGTTCCGGGTCAGGGCCATGATCCGGCCGGACTGATGTACGGTTTGCAGATCGGAGATCAGGACGTGAAGGGTGCGGATTTGGGGGGGAGTTTTAGATCTCTGTTGGCCTCGAATATGCAGCTCGGAGGGATTATTCTTGACGGGTTCGGAGAAACCGGGTCGGGTTGGGACCTGGGTTTGGGTTTGCCGCGGAGCGACTCGGTCAAAGACGACGGCGGCGGCGGCGGCTGGACTGATCACGCAATGAACAGAGTGGAGAAGAGTTGAAGGGGTATTTCTGTAATTGCAATATCTTCTTAGAGCTGCCGGTAATTTTGGTAATATCCATATCAGTTATTTAATATTTTGTTTGTCTTTAAGCTTTTCGATTTAAATTGTTCCGTGATATAATGATAATATGTAATACTACGATAGTTTATTATTGGAATTAGGGTTGTGGATATGAGAACCCAAAATATCAAATACCCAAATTTGAGTTCCATATTGGATTAACCTTTATATAAAAACTCCTAAATCCTAACAATCTACAAATATTCGAATACCCAAATCTTAAAGATTAAAATTTTGGATATACCAATTGAGAAACCTATGGTGAAAAAAGCCAAATGCCATCAAATTCGGATACCTAAGTTGTGATCACCCCTAATACGAATGTGTAAGACATATTATGCGTGTGTGTTTTTTTAATGTATTTATGATAATTTTGGTTGGGAATGGGAAGAGAGAGGAGAGATCCGTCGAGGGCAGTAAAGAAGCTCCCTCTCTAATGTCTTGGACGGGCGAGACAGCCGAACACAAGTTGAACCTTTTTTTTTTGTTTATTTTATTTTAAATTGAATGTGAATATTCTTTATAATAATAATAATAATAATATATAATTCAGTAAAAAAAACGGGCTTCAATAGTAAAAATCAAATTGCTGATAAACTTGGCAAACCGTTAAAAGCGGTTCCTATATTTAAAATTGTAAAAGTTTATAGAAACTATAAAATATATATCTCTCCATTTCAATGTAAATATCGTTTTAAGTTTTCTTCATAATTTTTAAAGAAATTAAAAAAAAATAATCATATATATTCTCATTAAATTGTATCTCTATTAATACTCAAGTTTGATATTTTTAATTTAAAATAAAATTGGAATTTTTTTTTTATTTAAAAATCAGTTTAAAAATCTAAAATTACAATTATTTAGAAATAAAAAATAATCTCTAAAACTAAAACGACATTTATTATTAGACGGAGGGAATATCATTTTCTAGAATGAGACACATCGAGAGAGCAATTATTTCTTGATTTCAACTCTTTTTTTGTTTCATTCTCTTCGGAAAAAAGAAGTGTTCTATTTTATACATGGGACGATGCATAACCACACATGTTTTGAAAACCCTCACACTAATGACGAGTAAATGATCTCTTAGAACATGGACTACATTTGTAAAAAAAAAAAAAATCAAATTTAATGATTTTTAATAGATGAACTTAAAATAAAATTTCCTTAAATAGCACAGTTATAATTCTTTTTTTATTTCAAACAAGTACAACTTCCCTTAAATATTTATTGAATACCATCTTAGTTGTTGCTACAAAAATATTTTTACATGTTCCCACTTATCCCGTCTTAAATTAATTCTTGAAAGTAAATATGTTTCTAGTTATTTCGTTGAATCCAAATAAATTATATATACAATTTCATAATATATATATATATATATATAGATCAACATATTAAAATATATGTCGACATCTTTAGAAAAACGACTAACTTATATTATATATATTGTTTCCTTGTGATGGCCCATGTAATTTAATCGCCACTGTAATGTGATGGCTCTTTGATTTTGGACCATCCTAATCTTTAGTTACCCCACATGTGTAGGGTTTTCTCTGGTCAATTTAAGCAACAATGTTGGATTTTATATTAAAATGTTGAAATGATGAATTTGATTATTAATAGTAATGTGGTAATTCAATTTGGTTATCACAATCGAACCGAGTCAATTCGATCCACCATTTGGAATGAAATCCGATCTAAAAATCAATCGGATTGCTTCTTCTTCTTCTTTTTTTTTTTTTTAAATTGAACACTTTGAATCGGATATCAAAATAACCAAAATGGAAATGAAAATACTCGAAATAAAAACGAAAATTTTAGAAACTAAGTAGATTTTAAAAAAGGGACAGAATCAAATATAATTGTTCAATAACCGGAAAAATCTAGATCATGAAATTAGTAATGTGAAATCGATGTCTCCACCCCTAATTAAATTCAAAGTGACCCACAAATCAATTGCCATTGAATTGGTTGTAGAACTTCAACAAGTCTGTCAATTCATCTGATTCGACTCTATGTGCCAGAATGTGACATATCCACACCATTATGTTTCTGTCTTCGAATCCGATTGCAAACGTGTTTTCTCAATGTTGTAATAAAAAGATTCCTTTGTTACGACAAATGTAAAGACCCAGGCTCCGACATGAACACATCGATAGAACCGACATCGTTTGATACTTAGTTCAAGAATCATGCAAATCCTGTTACAACCATATATATATATATATATATATATATCATACGTTACAAATATCTCAACTTGAGATAACCTGCACGAAATCTATGAGTGATTACAGGTCTAAGATAGATACCATATTTTTCCAATTGAATTGTAGGGATATATTAGGAATGAGATGGAATTTACCGACATTAAATGGTTCGATTCGGTTATTTTCATGTTTAGTTTTTTTAATACCCAAATTATTCCAATAGAAAATCACTTTAAAACTAAACCCTAATTTTTTTTATTAAAAAAAATATAAACTCCAATGCAAAGTAAAATGAACTTTACAAATTACAAACAAAACAAAAAAGATATTTTTTAAATTTGTGAAAACTATTATGTCACTAATTTTATTTTATATTTTTTAGGTTTACCTCAGCGAATTCCCCAAAAACGAAATAATGGCCAAATGGTAAAATGAAAAGGTTGGAACCTCCAAAAAATCAAAAGCCAGAAAGAAAAGTCTAAAGAAACATAACAAGATTTCTTCAAGTCTTTATAAAAGTGAAATGGAAAAAAAAAAGGAGAAAGAATGAAAATGTCAGAAATAAATGAATTTTTTTCCAACTGATTTAAGAGTCTATAAGAGTTCATCAAACCTCACTGGGTTTTCCAAGAAGTAAACAACAACGAAAGATGAGAAGATTACTTGGAGATGGTGCGTGCCTTGTACATTATGATGTATGCCATATGCCAATCACCTGAAAATTCAAACAATACCCCAAATACAAAAAGCATGAACGGTCTGAGAGAGAGAGAGAGAGAGAGAGAGAGAGAGAGAGAGAGAGCAAACCTCCACCGGAGAGCTTGGTGATGTCCTCTTCACGTTGAGGGCTGGGGCTATCGTCGTCGTATTGAACCCACTTGCCTGAAATCGTATCGAGTTTGGATTTTGACAAGAATCATGAGAAGAAGTGAAGTGAAGGATTCATCTTAAAAAAACTGACCACTATCTTGCTTGACCCAAGCAACATAATGGCCCGAGTCTGCACTCCGGCCTTTGTGGGTTAACACCGCGACCAGATCATATATTCCCGTCATATGAGCTTCCTTCTCTAAAGTAGCACCACCTATGGCAAATAACAACACGTCCATGTCATTTTAGCATATAAACTGAACAACTAGATCCTCCTCCGCTGTCAGGTTCTGACAACATAAGCTTGGCAAATTTGGGGAGAATAAATAGTTGTGTCATGAAGTCAGAAAGATATAGAGAGGGAGAGAAATGTGATGCTAGATCTTTCAAACACTAAAAAAACCCACATACACCCAGGTCTTTGAAAAACTAATGCATCAAAACTCTCTATTTCCTAGCATCGTAAATTATGTTAAATCAAATCGAACACTAAGCATAATCACTAACTGCAACCAAACAAGACAAGGAAGATAGTGAAAAACAAAAAAAAACAAAACCAGAGGGGTATCCCAAGAGCCTACTTTCCATTTGATTAGCTGTGGATGATTCTCCACTTCCATTATTTGATGATCCCTGCAATTAAAAACATAAAAGCGGATACCTCTATAAGATTATTCTTAAAGTAGAATTTAGAGGATCTCTTCTTTCTTTTTTTACCTCCGCATCAGTCATTTTCACATCGTTATCCTTTGCACTGGTCTGCAGACCAAGCTTTCTACCTTCTTCATCCCTAAGTTTCTGAAAGATACACATGTCGGTTAATTTGGCCAACAATCTCATATAATTAGAAATGGCCAAGACACAATGGCAGTCACTACCTGGCGCGGAGCTTCCAGTTTCTTCCGGAGATCATCAGAGCAGAGATCATAAACATCCAGCTCCAAAGGATAGTCCACTTTCTTCAAAGTTATACAATAATATAGGTGGAGCAAAATCATTTCACATTCAAACATTTGATCTCTTTTTAACAAACAATGATGGAGAACTAACGTACCCGGAGAATCTTTGCTTTCTGATTGGTTTCCCTTTTCCAGAAGAAACGCACAAACTGAACAGTCAAGTACCTTCATCATCAGCAAGAAGAATTACAGAAACTTCCTAGTCAGAGGAGAGAAAAAGAATACAAAGCAGAATTCAATTTGGAAGTTGACACTGACAGAGTTGATTCTCTGAAACTTGCTAGTCATGTTGCAAGGAAAATTTCAACATGAAAAGTGAGATGTCCTATGAAAGAAAGAAATCAATCACCTCGGCAAGGAATCTATACGAGATTCCTTAATGAAAAGGGCAGTACGACCCAGAGAAGGGGATGTTTTCTCAAGTTCTCCTCTCAGTCCCTACATTAACAGGAGAAAACAGGATGGTTCAGACCAATAAACTGAAAACAAGCCACTGCACGAGTTTAAATTTTAATGCTCTCACTCATGCCAAAAAAGGGGGAAAAGGCAACAACAGTTATGTTTCTGAATTAGGAGGTTCTTCCCCAGAACTTAGTTAATTGCCTACCGAAAGCAGAAAGAGAGGTTTCAATGGATTGATTGCAGAACTTACGTGTTTTAATCCTTCATGCAAATGATTCACCTCTTGTGATATATGGCATTTAAGAGAGTCGACAGATTCTATCTCTGAGCTTTCTTCACCACTTTCTTGACAATGCAACCTGCACCACCCCCATTATAAAATGATGAGAGTTCCACCCCCCTTTCAGCTTGTAAAACAAAATATAGGACACAGATCAGTAAGTAGGCCAGATCTGCTTCAAACGGACTCGTGTCTGGTGGGAAACAAAACCTGCCATGATACACATTAAAACTGTTCTACACGAGACAATTTTGTTCTGTTATGTATTCACATCAGCAGTCTTCAATTTTACAGATGTAGATACAGAATTCAGAAATCTCAAACAATGGCTTGTTCGGCAGGCCCCAAACAAGTAGGTTTATATGTTCTGCAATTACTTTGACATCATCCATCCTCATGGTTTTTAAAAAATTTCCATTTGACCTTTGAAACTAGAAAATAGCAGACTGCAATGCCGTAAATAAATGGGTTTAGTTTTGCCCTCTATTGTGCTCATCTCATGAACTAGCTTTGATAGAACTATGATATGAGAGCATTGTGTGAAATTTGCATTTTGACCTGCTCAGAAGATTGACACCAAAAAGACCCTTCACAGTATCAGGATCTTCACTAGAACTTGGTGCTTTAAGTGACTGAGAAAGAGTGTACAGCAGCTGTGTCCAACATTCTTCAGCATCCTGTTACGCATTTAAAGGAGCATGGGTAAACAAATTGGATACACCACAAAAGAACTGCCAATAACCAGCAAACCTAATTAATTAAAAAAAACCTGCTGCATGTGGATTCCGTTATGTAACTGGGCAAACTGAGGGTATTTCTTACGTAACACCTGCATCAAGGCCAAAAATGGTATGAGTCGGAAACTAAAATAACCTCAGATTGACACTAAAAATATTCACCTACAAACGTGGGAAGTATTTACGCGAAGAATCGAATAACATCTACAAAATAATATTAGAATTCCATGAAGCCCACTGTAGCATACACATGCAAAGATTGTAAAAAACGGGCTGTTCTATTCTGAGCATATTCCGTTTTTTTCTGTTTAAACCCACAGGTTTGAGATCTAAGATGACAGCTAAAGATGTAATGACAATTTTTAAGAGAATTTTTTTTGGTAAAATATTAATTAGCCCTAGGAAACTAACAATAATAGGCAAAAGAAGCATAAAGGTTAGGGAGAACAAAATGAAAACTAACTGTCCAGAATTGCATAGGTGCAACGGCCTTGACACTTTTATCAAGCTCACTGAATAGATCACGTGTAGCAACTGTGAGCATGTGAGCAGTCTGATCCAGATCACTGCTTCGTCCAGCAAGTGAATATCTAATCAGAATCAAGAGAACAAGAATCAGATTCTGCTAATATGAGACATCCCCCAAATGCATCTTTGCAGAAATTTCTGAATAAGAACAAAGTAATAAACTAACTTGGATAAAGCATGTTTCAATTCTGGGACAGATTTTAAGCACTGTATTGTGGAGTTCATGTAACAGGTATTCCCAAGGTTGAATAGACCAGCACTGTAACCCTGAAACCGATAGTAACATTTGTTAGATGTAGGAAAGAAGTCAAAAGCTACCGTAAGGTAAAATAAAATGTGCACTTAAATTACACGATATCTAGAAAATTACGAAAAATCTTATTTTGAAAAAAACAATTATTACCAAATTAGTCACTTGCTCTTCCTCAGGAAGATCCTCCGCAAAAACAGGGCCCTTCTCTGGAGCCTTCACTATTTCATCTGCAGTTCCCATCATCATCAGTTTTTGGCCCTAGTATGAAGAGAATAACAGAAAAGCTTAAACAAGTGAGCAAATCATAAAAATTAAAATGGAACAACTCATAACCCCAACAAATGAAGTGTATTTACATTTTTTACTCCTATGGTTGACCAATCTGCATCATCCTGCATCACATATAGGAAAGATCTCGTTACTTACAACATATAAATCGACTTAAGGAACATATTACTGAAATGAAGCATCACCCAGAACCAGGAGCACATGAAACTAATTACCTTTAGCAGTCCACCTTTGACCATGATCTTTTGTCGCTCTGTAGGGACTCCGGTCAAATCATACAATTGAGCCTTGAAGACATAAGGAGGCTGACTAGTGTCAATCTCGATACCTTCGAGAACCTTCTTTTGCCACTTCACGCTGACTGTAAACCAAAAGCAAAACGTTCGAACAAAGATGCAGTGGCCAACTTTGGACTTAAGTAACATTGATACTCCAGCAGTGTCTCACGGTGAGACTCTCACTGTACTAAGACCTATATATTCTGAAGTATCAATAGGACCAAATAACAGTCACAACTAGAAACTTAAGCACGGTCAATTAGCAGTAGAGGGGGAAAGAAACCCTATTTGTTTACATCTTTCTATCTCTGATAGAGCAAAAACAAAACCCGTAGTTAAATCTTTCAGTCTATCATAATCAACCATCAAAACTTATCCAAGGAGATTGCCTTGGGTAAACCTCATATTTTTACACGACTAACAAACCTTTCTCAAGGAAGAATCAATCAGATAAGCACATTCTCAATATCCTATGCACGGCTCATCTTATACATCACAAATTTTCTCAAATTCTTTGAAACGAACGATAAGGGTTCCAAATTATTTCAGAGAACATCACAAATGTTCTCAAATTCTTTCAGTCTATCTCATTTAGAACAAGATAGAATGGCAAACATATTGAAGATATCGGTATGTTATCCTAAACCCAAACAACGACTAAAACTCGACATTCACCCGTCATAGTTACCAAAAAATGCCACTCACGCCGAGACTCAAGATATTGAAGTTCACGGAGTGAACAATGCATCAGCTTCGCAAAGAAGGAAGCTCACCTACTAGTAGTTCGAATTAAGACTACTTTGAATCATATAATCAAACGGAAAACCCAAAAATCTATGCTAGTAAACATAATTAACCATCCCTACAACAACGTTCATATAAACCTCACTGACATTGTTACTCTAAATAAAACCCTAAATACTTCGTTTTGTCATAGAGAGGAGCACAAGATCGGGCAACCAACGAAAATCCGAAAAAATCTAGATTAACAAATTTCAAACAAGGATCCAGAGATTTACAATGGCGTCCGATCAAAACGGATTCGACAGAAAGAAAGCTACCAGTATAAATCGATTCATTAGAGTTAACGAAGAAATTCAGCAAAGACGAACCTGTCAGCATGTTTGAAGGGAGAGGGAGAGGGAGAGGGAGAGGGAGAGGGAGAGGCTAACAACAGAGGGTAATAGATACTTTCCTTCTTTCTCGGGGCGTTCTTCGACTTCGACGAAATTCGACGACCCCTCTATTATGTATAGCCGCCCCTTTTGCCGGGTCGGGCCGGGTCAAAATGCTCCTAAAATCTCGAACGACGTCGTTTTCGTGAATATCAAAATTCAAAAAAAAAGGAAAGAACAAAAAGGAACAACATCAGAGCAGAACAAAGCCTAGGCCTTGACCCTTGGACCTCTCCCTCTCTGTGCATCTCCTCTCTCATCATCGTCTCTCTCTCTGCCTGTGCTCTTAATCTATACATACACTCATATAGATATATATCCGGGCCTATATATATTTAAGGATATTGCAGACGGCGCAATTGATTTAAGGATGATGTACGGAGGCTCGTCAAAACTCGGACGCGGAGGAGGTAGAGGCGGTGGCGGCGCCAGCGCCGGCGGACCGCTGCGTGGCCGGAGCTCCTTCCCTCTTTCCAACCAACGGAATCACTCCGCTGTCGGTAGGATGCCGTCGGGAGGCAGCGCCTCGCGCCAACGCAGCACCACCGGCGCCATCGAGGAAACCTTCAGCCTCTTACCGAGTAAGAGCCCTCCGGCTTTCGGCATGATCATACGGCTTGCGCCTGACTTGGTGGAGGAGATCAGGCGGGTTGAAGTACAAGGTGGGATCGCGAAGATCAAGTTCGATGAGTTTTGTAACAATACAAGTGGGAATGTGAGTTACTTACTTTCTCGTACGAAAAAAATGCATAAACGGGGGTTTTTGGTGCTGTTGAGTGTTGAATTGAATTATGGCCACCTTTTCTTCTAAAAATTTTGAATTTGCTCGCTGGGTTATACATTCTTTGTTCGACTGAGATATTGATAATTCACTTCAATTAAGGTGTTTCTCCTTCCTAGATGGTGAATGTGTGGGAAATCAGTTCTTCTACCTGATTTGGTTGTTGCATCTTGAAAGTAGGGTTCATAGTTCGTGTTTTCCCAATTCCAATTCGCTTTCTTTGTTTAGCTGGTCATAGTTTATTCGCAGGTAGAGGGTTGTTGATTGAATGTTCTTAAGCGTTTCTTCATGCCCTTTGGTCTCAGTGATTCCTCACTGCTTTTTGGGGTTATGGATTGCTAAAATTGGTTATTGTTCATTAAGAGTTGTAGATAGGCCAACTTGCTTTCTTTGTTTGACTTGTTAGGTTTTTATTTAGCCTTTTGTGTTCTTACCCTTTCTTGACTGAAACAGATTATTAATGTAGGTGGAAAGGAGTTCAAGTTTACCTGGTCCCGGGAGCTGGGGGATTTATGTGATATATATGAAGAACGCCAGCATAGTGAAGATGGAGATGGTGTGCTGATTGAGGCCGGATGTGCTTGGAGGAAATTGAATGTTCAGCGTACTCTTGATGAGTCTACCACAAACCACATGAAGATGCGCTCAGTTGAAGCTGAACAAAGAACCAAATCACGCAAGTATAAGTTTTTGAGAATTAATAACTTCTTCCTCATTTTTTTTATCGTTGTCTGTCCTTTGGCCTTCATATGTCAGTGTTAGTATAGTATATATTTTTTAGTAGTCATCTTCTTAGTCTTGTCATATGAATAGAGTAGTCTTTGATAGGGCTTGCGTGCTGTTCATCTAAATGCTCTTTAGTATTGTTGCGGATGACAGCTTTAAGTTTATAGGTTCTTAGTTTAGTTATGGCCTTAATGAGTTTCAATTTATGCTGATTCATGAAAACTATTTGTATTGGTCCGATGCCCAGACACCACAGCTGTTTCTCACAGTTAATTGGTAACCGGGAACCTTTATTTTCATCTTTAATTTTGTCTCATCAAAGTGGTGGGAATAGGTTTTGTTAGCCCTTTGGTCATTTCCTTTTCAGTGTACCTGAATAACCGCTATGTCCTGGTTCCTGTTGACAGGGCAATCGTATTAGACCCTGGGAATCCATCTTTGACGAAGAAGTTAGCTCTTGCTGAAGGTAGCTTTTTGGTTGAGATATTTTCACTCTACTTTGCTGGTGTGCAAAAGAAATGTATCTCTCTCTGAACTTTTGGAGGAGATAATATGAGGATGATTACGAAACTTATTTTTATATATATAAGACACCGTGCTCATGTTCCCGTATCCGTAGTTCGCTCTCCCTTCCTCGATGTTCTCTCTTGTCCTTTGAATTCAGTAATTTAAGAACTATACCAGCATAGTTAACCATTCTGGTTTTAACTGAAAGTTGTACTCTTAATATTTAAATGAATAGGTTTCTTCTCCCTTGTGTACAAGAGTTTGGTTATAACTTTTTAATATTGTAATGTGTCAGCAAATCCATGGAGAATGTTAAATAAGCAGAAGAAGGAGCCACCACCCAAAAGGCGGAAGGTTGACCCAGCCCCAGGTATATACACTAAGACTTCTGTATATGTGGTAGCACATTAAAATTGTCAAAAGTTTTAGATGCTATTGCATTTCCTTGCTAACCTTGTAATCCAATCACTTTTAATTCTGGTGCATGTATTAGTTCCAATGAGAGGTCCAAAGCTTGCTTTCAAACCAGGGGCTTCAATCGCTGCCGGTAAAGGTAGACCCTCAGCTTCACCAGGACCATCTCCTGTTAATCAATCCAACGCTTCACCTTCTCCATATGGAATTGGGAACATTGCTAAAAGTCGTACAACCACTGAAGATGACCCACCAGTCCAGACGAAGGGCAAAGAAAACCCAATTGTTAGTGAAAAGGATTCATCAACCAGGACAACTGATGCATTAGGGGACACATCTGGAAAAAAAGCCAATAATGCTAATAAACCTATTGATTTGCAGACGTTGGCAATTAATTTCCCAAAAGATGCTCCGATGAACTTGAAGGTAACACATAATGAAATGTCTTATTCATACACATTTTGACACCTATATATGTTTTTATGTCCACCATTTACTATTGATGACATACATTCTCTCTGTCTTTCTATAGGCATTGGAGAAGGTTGTTGGAGATAAAATTCCTAATGCTGCAAAGAAGATTGAGCCAATTTTGAAAAAAGTAAGTGATGATGACTTTAGAATGCTATCTGGTAGTGGTAGCAGTATGTCTTCTTACTTCTCTGATTATTCTTGATAACCAGGTAGCAAATTTCCAAGCTCCAGGAAGGTATTTCTTAAAATCAGGAGCCTATTCAGACAGCTATAAGAAACGTTCATCTGGAATGGGAAGGTATGTGCTATTTAAAAAGATAGTGCTGAAAGTTCATTTGGAGAAGAAAGGTCCTCAGAATATGACACTTTTGGAACAGTTTGTTGGCTTACATTGCATTTGCTGTAGACAATCCCATTGGTCAATCTTATGTGACATGAGGATATAGCATCCTATCATATTGTTTTACACCTTTTCAGTTTTCACTATCAGATTGTTTATTGCACACCATAAAATTTTCTCTGGTTTCTTCATTAAAACTTGTCTGAAGATAAAGAAAAATCACGAGATAAAGTTACTTGTCTTTTTATCTTCGTAACTGTCCATGCAACTACTTCGGTTATCATCATTATCATTTTACCAGCTAGGGTTAACTACAAGATACACAATTTTCTGAAGTTAGCTAATTAATTTCTGTGCATATTGTGGTTGTACTTTGTGTTAATATATTGTCTCTTTAGCAGCTCACCTGCAGACCCGCAAGTGTTGCCAATCGCAGAGTGCGGTCATGATCAGTTACCTGTGTCAGGGGTCGGAAATGTGGGGAACTTTTCAGTTTGTGAGCCCAGTGGACAGTGTCAACAAGATGTTGTGCCTGCACATCCGGAAGGACAATCAAGTTCACCAGAAAATGTTGACATTGAACGCCTTTCACCTCGTATTCTTGGTGATGAAAAGTCAGCTGAGAATAGAGAAGGCCAGGTTGGTAGTTCTAGTGATTCTGGAAGTAGTGACAGTGAAAATAACAGTGGGAGCAGCAGTGATAGTGAGGCTTCTTCCAACAGTAAGGAGGGTTCAGATGAGGATGTGGATATCATGAGTGATGATGACAGAGAGCCCCAGCATACAACAGAGTCAGAACTCGGGTTGCCTGCATCAACTTTCCCATGTCAAACTGATGGTTCTGGGATTGTTCACAACGAACCTGCTGAAAAACAAGAGGGTGGTGGATTCAATGCTGTTGACATTGACAGACACGAGTCTGATGCCATTGACATCAAAGGTCACAGCTTTGACGAGGGTCATGGTTCTGATTGTGTGAGAAACTTTTACCCTGAAAATAACTGGATTACGGAATCCTCTGCTGATCTCAGTCCTGCAAATGAAGATGGCAGGAATTCGGGGCGGGGACCTTTTTCTTCTGCTCATGACAAGATGCGAGTGTGCCACAACTTTATAGGAAGGTTTGATGACACAGAGAATTTAGTGAAGAAAGGAGAAACATCTTTTGATGAAGAAGACTCCACTTATTTGAAGTACGAGAAGGATTCTCCTGATCTAAAGGGACCTATTAGTGGTTATTCTCAGTAAGTAATATGAAAGGGTAATGTTTTAGAATCTTCATTGCAAGTGTTTATATCTCTAATTATTTGTCTTTAATTTCAGGTATAAAGCCTACATACAGGAATATCATGATAAGTATGATAGCTACCGCTCCCTTAGCGAGATAATAGAAAAATACAGGTAGCTGGATGAACTCCTTGGCCACAACTCTCAGGTTCTATCACTTGTGTTGTCCTTTTTGATCAGTTTTCTTGAATTGATCGGTTCGGTTGTTTATAGAAATGAATTTCAGAAAATGGGAGAAGGCCTTGAATTTGCAAAAGACACGGATGTGGAGAGGTATAACAGAATTTTGCAACAGTTGAAGGAATCTTATCACAAAAATGGGGAGGTAATCTGCTATCTGATAACCTCTTTTATTATGTTATTTTTGTCCTCCTTGGAATAGGAATAGTTGAAAATTTATACTATTCTATGGAAAAGAGATTTTGGGTTACACCGAAGCATTCCGGGATTTGTTTCTACCCTGTACTCTCTTCACCTAATATTAGATATAGAATGAAATTTGATACTGATTTCTCACAAGTAGATTCCACTGAGCAGAGGATGATAAATGATGATACGATCCCTTGCTTGTGTGGAATGATTTCGTAAACTATGGAAGACATTATCAGTTTTTGGATCTTACAGCATTGCTGAAACCATTTGGCGAGTTACTTGGTAAATATGGAACACGGTAGTTAAGGGAAACGGACGAAGCAGAGGAAGAGGAGAGTAGAGGAAATAATTAATATGGAAATTCCGTTTGAAGTTTCTGCAAAGAGCTCACACCTTTTTGTTCATCGATAATAATGATTTATGTTCCCTGATTAGTACTGTGCAGGCATCTTATCTGCTTGAATCAACGCTGATAAATTGTTGATTGTTCAAGTCTTTATTCTTACTGATCGTTGCTAAGGCTTTCTTCTACGCAACCTGTGCAGAGGCACAAGCGTTTGAAGAAAATATTTATCGTTCTCCATGAAGAACTAAAGGTAATTTTCCCAAACTCCTGCACACGCTTTTTTTTACCATGCAGTTATATCCATCTTAACTGTTAGCATTTTATATCCGAATACATTGATGAAAACCGAATATGGTAATATTTTCGCAGCATCTAAAGCAAATAATGAAAGAATACGCGTATTCTCATGGAAAGGATTGCAGCGAACAAAGACGAGAGAGGTCGAAACTCGGGTCCTGAATGGATATCACGAGGGTAAGACCGGGTCCTAGCTAGGATACATTGACATCACTTCCTTTCTTATCCTACCGCTAAAAGTCTGACTTCCATGGGCATGGAGATCATTCTATTGATATATAAGGGCCGTATAGCTCCTTAAAATGAGACACTGCGGAAAGCCCCTACCCATGGAGGATAGCCATGTTCATATACTCACTGATGGCGAGGACAACTAAGACTCCATTGGAGATTTTAAGGTACCTCTTGAGATATTTCATTCACTGTGGATAGCGCATTCGAGTTCATGAACAACATGGAGAGGGCGAGGGAAGAAAGGTAGGGTCCGATCCCATATCCCCCGGGGTTCCGGCTGGTGTGGATAATATAATGTTGTCTAACATACTATGAATTCATATTCCCAATTTTGGTGTTTTGTAGGGAAGGAATTCTTCTTCTTCGAGAATATATTCGGATTCAATTGATAAAATTATTTAACTTTTTTTTTCTATAAATTAAATTTTCTTGTACTCTCTTTTTTAATTTATGTATATAAAAATTGTACATATAATCATTTCTAAATTAAATTCACTTTAAAACCCATTAATCATGATCTTTTGTATATTATGAATTAATTTTTAAATCGATTCAAAAACTAATTGATTATAAATTTTGAAACTATAAGTTAATCAAATCTTAACTGATTATAAAAATAATAATAAAATTCATCATCACAAATTTTTGAAGAAATAATATTCTTTAAACTTAATCTAAAAAAATAAACTACAAATCCAAATATAAATGAATATAAATCTAAAATAGCAAAAAGAAACAAGTTGTGGCTAATGCCTATTGTGAAACTAATATAATAGCCCCACTTGTAATAATTAAGAAATAAATAAAAATCTGTCCTTATTAAGTAAGTGATTTGAACAATTTAAAATTTGATTTATTAGGTGAAAAAAAGTTGATTAATTAGATGTAAAATAAAATAAACCCCACTTTAAGTGCTACCCTTTCCATAACAATTAACAAATATGTTTACTCTGATTTGCGAAGCAACTTTGCTTTTGCTCATATATTCACGGCTGTAACAAAACCTCCGTCAGAAATTTTCATGACTCGGAGTTTAAAACCCATAGATTCCGTGGAGAAAATTTATCCGACGAACTTGGAGCAGCACAATTTCATTTGATTGGCAACTGTTTTTCTTCCTTTTCGGGTATATCTTGCGTCGACTCTTCGCTCTACGCGAAGGAAAGTTGCAATCTTTCAGTTTCGCCCTCGGAGTTTTGAGGAAAATCTCTGCTGAAATCAGCTAGGTATTTGAGTTCGTCTTCGTTTGAACTTCTGGGTCTTCATTGAAATGCTAAAATAGCTTATGGGTCTTCTGAGAGATGTTGAATTGATCACTGGTTCGAGTTTCCTGACTTCGAAATCGGTTTTGAGCTTCTTGGGTATTCTCAAAATCTGGTTTCATTTCATCAGTTGGAATACTTTGATAGCTTGTTTTCGGTGTGTACGGTTACTGATTCGATTGTTGCGGTTCTAATTATACAAGCCAGTTCAAAAATCAACCTACATGTTTGGGGAATTCTTTGGTGTAAAAAAAGCAGTTTTCTGTCTGGATTTGGAACCGAAGTTGCTTGTTTTCACATACTTAGAGGAATCATTTGTTTGGTCTTACCTTCGCAACGGAAGTCATCTTTGATTTCCCAGAGTTGTATATTTTTAGGAGCAAATGCACAATTTGTCTTCTGTTGGTTGGCAAAGTCTTATTGTTGTTAATCTAGCTTTCTGTTGGTCGTTCCTGCTAATTCTCTTGCTATATGATTTCTTGCATCAGAGCATTTGATCGTATTACTCTGTTTCTTTATTTTCTTGTCTGGTCCTAATAATGGACCATTTGTCACTGTTTTCCACTAGTTCATCGTCTTGGATATCAGAGCAAAGTGTGTGATGAGCTTTGGTTAGTCAACAGAAGAGAAGCTAAGGTGCAGTTAAAACTGTGATGCTGAATGTTCGGGCCAACAGGTGGGCTGGGGATGAATCCCACAATGGATGATATGAACTTAATTCAGCAAGCACAAAGGCATCAACTTGTCGTTAGCAATCTTGGTGAAGAGATCGATTTGGAAATCGGACCTGGAGATGACGACCCATCGTTTGCTAACAATCCATTGATTCCACGGGAACCTTCTACTGGGGAACATGATGAAACAAAGCATATGGTTGTCGTATCTGACATTCCTGGTGAGGATCATGATATGTCAAAGGGACAACCAGCTAAGAGAAAGAAGAAGGTTGTCAAACGGTGGAGAGAGGAATGGGCTGACACTTACAAGTGGGCATATGTTGACGTGAAGGACGGAACGGCTAGGATATTTTGCTCTGTTTGCAGAGAATATGGTAGAAAGCATAGGAGAAATCCTTATGGAAATGAAGGAAGTAAAAACATGCAGATGAGTGCTTTAGAGGAACACAACAATAGTTTGCTACACAAAGAGGCTCTTCGACTTCAAATGGCTTCCAAGGATAAGATTGTTGTTGACAAACCCATATATTTGAAGAGTAAGTCAGTGCAATCTGCTTTGAGTGATTTGGTTCCCGTTTCTCTGTTGTCATTTAAGATTGTTTTCAAGTAATTTTGCAATAAGGGTCTTTTTAGTTCTTTTGAATTTTCTCTTTTCTGCATTGTACAAAGGTGATTTTTTTTTTGAATTTTATTTGATATCTAGTACTAGGAATAATGGTACCTGGTCTAAGGGATGAAAAGAAGCTTTTAACAGGAAAATGTTTTACTTGTAGAAACCAGTCTGCAATTTATTCCATTGGAGTTTAGTTAGCTGTAAATTCTTGATACAGTTTTTGTTTCTGCTTGTAATGCTGCAATTCGAAATTTATGTGATCAGGAGAGATATTGTCATCTTCTTTGTCTTTCCTTGTGTAATATTGGGTTTTCAATAGAAAAGAAGAGGTCATCTCTCTTTCTGGCCTCGATTTGATATCCTCAATTTTGCATGACAAACCGATTGTCTTTCCCTGGTTATGGTGATGGTGACTATTTGTACTCTTCTTTGATGAAGCTCTTATGTCAAAAAGTGCTGGTTCAATTGTTGAGGGTACTATGAAACGAGATCCTCATGAGATTGAGTTTCTCCAATCTGTGCAAGAAGCTGTGCATGCTTTAGAGCGGGTGATTGCAAAAAATTCTCAGTAAGTTATTTGTTGTGCTTCTCATCTGGGCTTTGGAAGAGTGCATCAGAATCTTATTTTTTTTGTTCTGATTTTGTTTCAGTTATGTCAATATCATGGAACGCTTATTAGAACCTGAACGAATGATTGTCTTCCGAGTTCCGTGGGTCGATGATCGTGGTGAAACTCATGTGAATCGAGGTTTTAGAGTTCAGTTTAACCAGGCATTGGGTCCATGTAGGGGAGGTATACGTTTCCATCCATTGATGAACTTAAGCATTGCTAAGTTTCTCGGATTTCAGCAGGTATCCTTTTTGACCTTATTCTTATTTCCCCTTTTCTCTTTCTTTTTTCCCCGTGGTGGCAACCTTGACTTCTGTTTTGCATGATTATAAAACCATACATTGTAATAATTTGCCAATCCTCCACAGACTTTGAAAAACGCTTTGTCACCATATAAGCTAGGAGGGGCTGCTGGTGGAAGTGATTTTGATCCTAGAGGGAGAACTGACAGTGAAGTAAGATCTTACTCCTTGCAAATTATCATTGTTGCATGTTCTTCTCCAGATGTTCTTATTGGTTTTTGCAACATGGACAGATCATGAGATTTTGCCAAAGTTTCATGAACGAGATGTACAGATATCTGGGTCCTGACAAAGTAAGTAATATGGATTTCTATTTTTTTGGGGGGCTCAATTTTATGCTTTCGATAATACTTTTAATGTATTATGTAAGCTTAGGATCTTCCTTCAGAAGAGATGGGTGTCGGTACTCGAGAAATGGGATACTTCTTTGGACAGTATAGGCGTCTAACCTGTCAGTTTCAGGTACTAAAAATCCTTGAACACGGCCTATTTCTTTGATATTCTCCCGTTTTTGTTTCTTGACAACTTAAAGTCGTTGGATTTTGCCTTTTTTTATGTCCAGTAATCTATTCCTTTCATCTTTCACTTTTTTTTTTACTGTTTTTAACGTGCTACAGTCCACTTATACGTCCAAGCTCTTGAGAAATTTGACTGCATCAGATTTTCGATTACCTCAAGTTAATTATTTATGTAGTCATAGAGTTGTGAATAAAAAATGTTTTTTTCTTTTTCTTTTTCTAATTTCAGCCTTGATTGTTTGGAAGAGATTAAAGAGCTTTTTGGCTGTTGTATCCTTGTTTCAATTACTTATGCAGGGAAGTTTTACAGGACCAAGGATATATTGGGCTGGTTCTAGCCTTAGAACTGAAGCTAGTGGCTATGGTGTTGTAAGTGATATTTTTTTATATCTTTGCTAGATTGGCGGGTCAAGATTTTTTATACACCTCCGTAACTAATATATTTTGCATCGTTTCAGGTTTACTTTGCTCGCCTTATGCTTGCGGATATGAACAAAGAATTAAAGGGACTAAGGTATCTCTTCCTTTAACCCTTTTTGAGTGTGTTCTTGCATTGTATGAGATTTTTTTCAGTTGTTACCAATTTGTAGGAGTTTAACACTAACCTAGTTATTCTTCTGTATTATTATTTCAGATGTGTTGTAAGCGGGTGCGGGAAAATTGCAATGCATGTCGTAGAAAAGTTGATTGCTTGTGGAGCTCATCCAGTTACGGTATCAGGTGATTTCTCTGATCAATTTAGATTTGGACTGACCAAATTATCTTTGAATTTCTGTATGGTGTCGATGTTTTAATAGTTTTATCGAGTTTTTAGTTGTCTCTATTTTTTGGACTGTGAGTTTTTAAGTGTCTCTTAGTTGAGAATATCACCTGTCAGATTTGGCTTACACAATTTTTTTTTTTTCTGATGCAAAAATTTTGCAGATTCAAAGGGGTATTTAGTGGATGATGATGGATTCGATTATATGAAACTTGCATTCTTGAGGGATATAAAAGCCCAACAGAGAAGTCTGAGGTAGTTCTCTTGTATGATTTCGGTCCCTAATCATATAGATCCCAACTAGGGTAGGATGAGGGCTGGTGTGGTACCTGAATCTGAGGTTTGGGTTTTCAGTGCCATCCCACCCGAGCTTGTGCTCGAGGATCTTGTCCAACCCGTGTTTCAGATACCTGTGGGTCTGCTGGGTTTGGGTTAAAACACCGACCGCTAATCCCAACTGTTAATGTATCTGTGCATATGCAGAGACTACTCCAAGACATACGCACGTTCAAAGTACTATGACGAAGCAAAGCCGTGGAGTGAAAGGTGTGACGTGGCATTTCCATGTGCTTCTCAAAACGAAATTGATCAATCGGATGCCATCAATTTGGTTAATGTGGGGTGTCGCTTGCTTGTAGAAGGTAGTGGGACTCCTCTCTCTTCGTCATGATGTGTTCTTTGTCGACTTGCTGGCTCTAAAGGAGAGTGTGAATGTGGTTTACGCAGGATCGAACATGCCATGTACAGTTGAAGCAGTTGATGTTCTGAGAAAGGCGAATGTTCTGATTGCTCCTGCCATTGCTGCTGGAGCTGGCGGGGTGAGTTCTCTTCGCCCTTCTCGTATCGATGCTACAGATATACTGCACATGATTGTTGAAATATATATGTTTTAGCGATGACCATCGATATTTGTTGATGATCCTGTTGAAGGTTGCTGCCGGGGAAATCGAAGTGCTACGTGAATGCAATTCATTGCAGTGGTCAGCAGAAGATTTCGAGACGAGATTACAGGTAAATTCTTCTTCTTCTTTTTTTTTTTTTTTTTGTGGTGGAAACATCAATCCATTCAACTGTTCTTATGATAATACGCTGCCGCCGTCCTCTGTTTAAGAATGGTGAATTTTGGATCTTTGTATGATCATTGGCAGGAAGCGCTGAAGCAGACATATGAGAAAGCCCTTAAAGCAGCAAATGATTTCGGCTATCAGAAAGAAAGCCCTGAGTAAGCCTTTCCCAGTTTCAAGATTTGTCTGAATCTGAATCTTTTTTTACTTTTGTAAACTCGGATATGGTTCTGACTCACACTGCTGATGCCAATTGCAGGGCGCTTGTACATGGGGCAACTATAGCTGCGTTTCTGAACATAGCTCAAGCCATGACAGACCAAGGCTGTGTTTAAGCTCCTGGAAAAAAAAACTTCTATGATAAAATTGGAAACTCTGTAATATACATATATATATATATATAAAGATGTAATTTCGTGTAATGATTTAAAGAGAGTAATTTGATCATTGTTTTTTTTTTTTTACATGTTTGTTAATGAAGCTCCTCCCCTTATATGCCAACGCGTTCTTGTAGTGTTTTTATTTATTGTTCGAGCAAAAACAGGGACTCCAATGCAATACTTTGACCAGAGACACAGGTAGACAAAATAGGTCAACGGGCGTGAAAATGGTAAGGACGTGTAATGTAACCATGGATGAGGCTATTCCTAAAATAAATGAGAGTCGCATTTGTAATGACGTAACTCTTGAATTAAAAATTAGGAAGGACAAAATCGTAATTAACGTATCCGGAAATTAGGGTTACAGAGCCAAGCTTAACATAAAAGCCGCCTCCTCTTCATTCCTACGCTCGACCTCTCGCAAGCCAGTCGAAGACCTAGAGAAGGTCTCTCTCTCTCTCTCTCTCTCTCTCTCTCTCTCTCTCTCTCTGTCTCTCTCTCTCTGTGCAAGATTTTTGAGAGATTGTTGATCTGTTTTCTTAAAAGTGCAGTGAAAGGCAGAGATGGCGACGGTTCCGGGTCCATTGATATGGGAGATGGTGAAGAAAAACAACTCGTTTCTGGTGAAGCAATTCGGAAGAGGCAGTGCTGGTGTTCAGTTCAGCAAGGAGAGTAACAATCTCTACAACCTGAACTCCTACAAGCACTCTGGTAATAAATCCGACATGCTTTCTTGTTTCGTCGGATACTTTTCTGTCCGTTCAGCGAACCATGATCTGCAACTTTAGTATAGAGATATACCCACTGTGACTTTTTTTCCCTCCGTTACATTAGAATGCGTCATTAACTGACGTGTTGTTGGTTTTTGGGTGAAGCGTTTGAGAAATGTGTAGTTTGTTGAGGCATTTTGATGGTGTCTCTGGTCATATCTTTGATCCCCCGAGGAAAAAGTTTAATCCTTTCTCTCTCTTATGGATCATGGTGGGATATGACTACATGAGCATATTGATGTCTGATATAAAACTGTCATTTTGCCTGTTCATACGGTGTTTTGACTAGTGCAAAAGATGGAGTCTTGTATTGCGAAATGCTGTTTAAGAACAGAATTCAAATCGAGCTGATGTCTCATTTTCGGTGGCAGAGACCATTGGGATTGTGTGATGAATGGTTTTGTGGAAATTGGTTTTGATAGGACTGGCAAACCTGAAGACTGTGACTATCCAACCCGAGGGCAAAGATGCGTCGGTGTTGCTTGCTACAACCAAGACTAAGAAACAGAACAAGCCATCTTCTGCTCTCAACAAATCTGTCATGAAGAAGGAATTCCATAGGATGGCGAAAGCTGTCACTAACCAGGTACTTCTGCTTTCTACGCAACATAATTAGGACCTGATCTATCCTGACAAAACACTGCATAATCTGATCAGTCTCTCTCGATACCGTGATCTACATTGAGTGTGTTTTTCTAAGCTGTGGTGATGAAGCTATAACATGTAAGAAGAGCCCTTTTTGTTGGGCCCTTCGGTGAAATCCACTTGTTACGCTTGGCTTCTGAACATCTTCTTGTATGCGTAGTTTGTATCAACATCTCCAAACCCTGTTTTTTTCTTTTTGTGTTGTGTTTTGCAAAATAACACGGCCACGTCTCTTTTGTGCAGGTGGCCGATAACCACTACAGACCAGACCTTAAGAAAGCAGCCCTTGCAAGGCTGAGCGTTGTTCACAGGAGCATCAAGATTGCCAAATCCGGTGCCAAAAAGAGAACCCGACAGGCTTCTTCCATGAAGTGATTTGTTTTGCATCGTCTTTTTCTTGCCCTTGTTTCTCGTTTTACCGAAGACTACAGAGGTTTTCCGGATTCGTTTCTCTTCACAGATATTTTGGTTTTGTCAAGGAATTTAGAAAATGGAGCGAGATTTTTCTTATTTTAATGCAAATTGATATAATCAATGTCATTGTTTCCTGGATGCTGAGCCTGGGAAGAATCAGATTCAAAATATTTATGTTCATTCTCTATACAAAGCATTTGCATACGGATTAGTAGAAACCAAGTTTGACCGTCAGGGTAAAATGAACTGGATATACAAAGTTACATATGGACTAAAGCCCCGTAAATATCGTTCGTTTACAGCATGTATAGAAGCAACGAGTATTTCGATTCAGGTGGACTCTATTTTGAAACGGAAAACAAGAGTGATTTTAGTTGTGATGATGCGTGCGTATAAAAGGAGTGAAATTACTATTAAAGGAGCGGTTGGGGGATCTTGTGCTTCATCGTCACGCGGAATCCCTACGATCTCGTCTTCTGCAGACGATCATCATGAGTTTCTGCAAATGGGTTTCTCTTGTTTTGATCATTCACTTACTCAATCCTTCGTCGATTTCCTGTTCGTTTCCGCAAACCTCGATTGGGTTATCGCAAATTCCCCAAAAGTTTCTAAATTTGGCCCAAAGGGATGATTTTGTTGATTGGATGATCGGAATCAGAAGGAAACTCCACGAGAACCCAGAACTGGGCTACGAGGAAATCGAGACAGGTAAGCTCATCAGAGCTGAATTGGATAAGATGGGTGTTTCTTACAAGTACCCAGTCGGCGTAACTGGCGTTGTTGGTTATGTCGGGACCGGTCAGCCACCTTTCGTTGCGCTACGAACAGACATGGATGCTCTTTCTATGCAGGTATTCCCTTTGATTCTGTTAATTCGATGAAAAATGGTCTGAATCTGTCTGCCTTATTGTTGCATGCCTTGTAACAACGAGTTCTTGTCCTGTCTGCAGCATAATAGTTTAACCATGAAATGATTTGAGATGTGTTGGATTGGATTGTGTAGGAAATGGTGGAATGGGAAAGCAAGAGTAAGATTCCCGGGAAAATGCATGCTTGTGGGCACGATGCTCATACGGCAATGCTCCTCGGTGCTGCAAAACTGCTCAAAGAACACCAAGAAGAATTGAAGGTTAGCATTACAGAGAAATTTCCTTAACCTGTTCTGTCCAAATCCCCAAACCCGTCTTATCTACCGTGTTTTGGTTGAGATTTCATGTAAACTTACAGTGTTTCCATGGCTCTGGTTCTTTGTAGATGCCATTCTTTGCCAGAAGTATAATGTGATTAAGCATCTGATAGGTTTTCTGTAAAATTTTCTTGGATCATCTCATTAGGGTACAGTAGTTCTTGTTTTCCAACCAGCCGAGGAAGGTGGAGGAGGTGCAAAGAAAGTCATGGAGAGTGGAGTATTGGACAATATCGATGCAATATTCGGTTTTCATGTCTCAAATCTCTTGAAATTGGGTGAAGTGGCTTCCAGAGAAGGTCCAATTTTGGCTGGGAGTGGCTTTTTCGAAGCCAAGATTACCGGGAAAGGAGGCCATGCAGCTATTCCTCAGCACTCCATCGACCCGATATTGGCTGCTTCTAATGTGGTTGTAAGCTTACAACACCTAGTCTCACGTGAGGCCGACCCCCTCGACTCGCAGGTATAACTTTCTTCTCGTCTCTCCTTATCAAATCTTGGCCTGCTTCTTTATCAAATCTTTGGTCAGTGTAAAAGGGTCATTTGCAGGTGGTCACAGTTGCCAAATTTGAAGGAGGTGGAGCTTTTAATGTGATTCCAGACTCGGTTACAATTGGTGGAACGTTCCGAGCCTTTTCAAATGAAAGCTTTAAGCAACTCAAGAAACGGATCGAGCAGGTTAATATCAATCGGAACATTTGGTTTGAGATTGTCTCTTATTGTGTCGTGAAAGTAAAACGGATTGTCAGTTTTTTTGTTTTGACTAGGTTATCACAAGGCAAGCCAGCGTTCAGAGGTGTATTGCGACGGTGGATTTTCTCGAGGAGGGTAAACCCTTTTTCCCCCCAACCGTGAACGATAAAAACCTGCACGGTTTCTTCAAGAAGGTTGCGGGAGAAATGCTGGGAACTGAGAATTACTCTGAGATGCAACCGCTGATGGGATCGGAGGATTTCTCCTTCTACCAAGAAGCGAAACCCGGGTTGTTTTACTTTGTAGGAATGCAGGAAGAGGGGAAACCACGGATGGAGAACCTGCATTCGCCTTATTTCCGTGTGAACGAAGAAGCGATCCCTTATGGAGCTGCCCTGCATGCATCCCTGGCAGCTACATATCTCCTCGAGTCCCGATCCGACGATTCATCGCCCCACCAGAGTTACAAGGATGAACTTTGAACCCGTTTCCGGTCCTCTCTGGCTCACCTTCATTCCGACAAGATTGGCATTATCTCATCCGTTATATAAATAAACACGAAATGAGTATGTCCTGAACAAATGCATCAGATAGGTTTTCAGGGAACTGAAGAAACGTAAACTTCGTCGAAAAGGATCAGTGATTAGGCCCTCATTGTGAGAATCTTGAGTGGTTCTTGTTTCTGTTTCTTTCCTATTGATTCTGGGAAGCTAAAAAAATTAGAGAACTCAACTCTGAGAGATTGTTCCGGGATTCCGACAAAACACTTGTTCGGCCTTAGATCGCAGCTTATCTCGGGATTTTTCTGGTATCGGGTTTATGTTTGTTCGTCCGGTGTCGAGTTTTGCGGATGCTGTGATCGCGTAAGCCGGCTCGAGCGCATACAGAGTAGCACCAAGTTCCATATCCTAGGGTTTGAACACGGGTACCCGAATTTTCGAGTACCCGGCCCATCCATGCGGCTAGTGCCGGGACGAAAACCAGACCTTTCGGTCTGAAATGCCACTTTCACATCCGGTTAGTTCCACGTGCTTCAGCTCGAGGGAAATCAATTTACTGGGCCTTTATATTGGGCCAACGATTATATATGTTGGGTTTGTTGAAATGCCACTTTCTTACGGATCGAACGAGGACTATCATCCATGCGATGATCGATTTAGTTCTGACATGTTCTAAACCAATATAAAAATTTAATTGAATTCAAACTAAATTTAAATAGAAAATGAATAAAAAAAACAAAAAAGGACAATCTATACAGATTACAAACGTGAGAAGAAAATTCGAATAACATCCCAAATTAATAGAAACTAAAAAGGTACGAAAAATTCGAATCCAAAAATAATAGAAATCAAGTTTGAAATATTCAAAAGAATTTGGAACAACTACTATTAAAAATATTCTCGCCTAATAAGTTAAGTTTTTATTCACTTTTCGTAAAATATAGATTTATATCGTACAAAATTAAATAATACAGAATGAGAAGGACCGATGGTGATGTTATAACTTGTATCATCTTCAGATAATAGCGGTTAACCAATCGGTTATTAAATATGAGTTTGACGTTTCAATATTTATCCTAGGTATATATAATAACTATATATGGTAAAAAGTATGTTTAATATGTGTTAAGTAAATTAGCATTTCATAATCCATTATTTGTTTTTTTAAGGTATTATTATTTTACTTGTTTTAAAGAGATGTTATTTTATGTTATTTATTTTGTTACTATCCGATTTTCATTTGTAATTCTTTGTTTTGTTATTATTCGTCTATAATCTTGGGATTAAGACGATGTTGATGTTGATGTTGATGATGTTATTATTCGTCTATAATCGAACCCTAACCGTTATAAAACTGAACCAAATGAATCTGTTCGGTTATAATCTTTTGATAACCGAATAAACTAAACCGAAAATAATCGAGCCGGATACCAAAATATAATTATATATTTTCGTTTTGGTCTTATTTATAACGAATGCAAACTAGAATCCAAATCGATGTACATGCAAATACGATTGACACTCGTATCCTTATCAAGACTCATTAATTCCAACACGATAATATTGAATCTTCTCGATGGAGGGTGATGTTACCCCATGCCGATTTCCCACGTGGGACGACTCGCCTTCAGCTCAACAACCTATGATAACGTGCCACGTGTGCATGTTAACGTTATGTTCACGTGTGAACCACCAATAATCGAGGAGAGAGAGGGCGGACGGTTCGAGCACTGGACCATTTTCAAACCGGACCGAGCCAAAGTAAAACATTACTCTCCGTTTCAGAATTCAGACGACGTCGTTTTATGCGTGAACGATTTTATTTAATTTTTTTTTAGTAAACGCTTTGATTTTGATGGGGTGTTTGACATTTTATGCATAGGACCAAAATTTGTGGACCGGCCGACAATTTTAACTCTGTCTCTTGGAGATAGGTTTCTCAATCGTAATTTAATGTGAATGTATTCATTAGGAAGTCTCCATAGTTTCAATGTCCCACGGTACTGTAACGTTTTGTAGAATTGATGGAATATGGTTAGATCCATACTCTAGTATATCATATATTTAATTTCAATTTTGGGTCATGGAGAGATTGGCAACTGTTATGACTTTGAGATCATCGAATCAAAATTATTTCTTTCATGATTAATCTGGTCTCGACGAATTTTCAGTTCAAAATCAAATTAAAAAATATAATAAAAGGAGAGTCGCACGTTTAAGACAAATAGAACCGAAATTATTGTTACGACTCCAAAAGATAAGATTTTTTATTCTCAAATATTTTTTTTATTTTTTAGAAAGATTTTTAACGAGAAAAAAGTCGATAATTTTTTTAAAAAAGAAAAAAGTGGAAGAAGAAGATGATCTCTGAAAAATCAAGTTCTTTTATTTTTATTTTTTTAATAACAACGTAAACGATCTCATGGTTCAAAATGATCATCTCATAATGATGTTTTGCTGATGCAATATATCTACAAATTCAAGGAGGAAAAAAAAAGAAAGTGAAAAAATTAATAGGGGAAGTTTCGCATTGAAGTCTCGGGAGAAAGAAAATGGCTATTCTATTTTGGGATGTATTATTTCTATATTTGGGGCAAACTATATAATATAAGTGAAGACTTGAACATATCGACATATATGGAAATCGACGTTGTGATTAAAATGTATGATTATATGCAACTGTTTATTATTTACCAACAAAAATATAAATTTATACAAAAAAGTCAATTTAATAATATCGACCCATGAGATAACTTAGTTAACCTCAAAATATCCGTCCTTAACTATCTCGATTCTTTTTCTGATACATATTTCTAACATTATAAGATCTATAGTCGGCTTCAACGGAGAAATTAATTACTTTGGTCAACATAATTAATATGAAATCTTCTGAATTTTTGAGTATTTATATATATTTTCTGTAGAGAGTTTTTTTTGGGTACATCGAGTCAAAGATTATTGGAAGTCAGAGTTGGTCAACGGATATGTTGTTGGACCGACATGTCGCATCCCATGAAATTTTCCTTGTTTTCGTTTTCTTCGTTGGTAATGGTTTCTCGTTTTGGTTATGTTAATTACTATTTGATTATTTGAACTTATTAGTGACAAATATTAGGATTTTACACGTAACGGAAACGGGAAAAAAAAAAAGAACGTCTCTTTCGTCATGATTATACTTCGCGGATGACGACAACTCTGCATTTGATTTGATCTTAATTTGGCATTATGCAATCAAATGCGTTATTTCTTCCAAAATCTTATGTAAAATATTTTTTCCTCAGATTATTTAGAATTTCGGTTATATTTTGATTCAACTATGTTTAGGTTCAGATTTTCTCATTTAGGACAGAAGTTATACTCAATTGTTTTTTTAATTTAAAATTAGTTTTACTTTTAACTTTTTTTTTTTTTTGGTAAACGTTTTACTTTAACTTTCATTACAAAATAATAGTACACATGTGTTATTTTGATCAAATTCGATAATTAGATATTTATTCGGTTCATCAAATCGAAATCTCCACATCTACATACAAAAACATCTGTATTTGCATCATGATAATTAGTCAGAATCCATTATCACCGGGTGAAAATAAAAGGTTTCTGCATGCAGAAAATTAAGAACAGGAGAAGCCTCTACTCCAAGGAGAAGCTCAGGCTTAATTCAAGTTCGAGCCGGAAATCAAGAGTACGATCTGATATAAATTAATCGATTTGTTCCAGTTTAGATTTACGTTTACATTTCAAATTGTCCACGGATCAATATATATATATTTATTTTTATCGAGACTTATAGAAAATTATTATGCATGGGATTGAAAAATCTTATCCCGGCATAGATTTTCTATAATTTTTTCAACACTATATTACATTGTTGATTGCAGTATGCTAATCTACCAAATAGGTACACCCCAATATTTCTAACTAATATTGAATTCCATTTCGGTATTTTGATATTATCAAATCGATAAGGCTTTGTTCCTTTGATTTGTTAGTTTAATTTGTTCCCGTTTGAATTATATTTAAAAAAACAAAATCGATAAAATAGAGTTGACAAAAACGAATGAGCTGTGAGATTATGGAAGGCACGTGGTCGGACGCAGACAGAGTTCAAGTCTCTCTCTCTCTCTCTCTCATTGCGATGTAAATAAACTTTGATCTCATAACTCCAATGATGTTGCTATCTTCCTACCATGCACATATATATGCTATATCGCTATTCATTTTTTGTTGTAAAGTTCGAAATAACTATCTCAAAACCAAAATCGAAACGAGTGAAAACGAAAAATTTATACGATCGATTTCATATAAACTCGAGATTAAGATGATGATATTGATAAAAAAAAATGTTATTCGAATTTCATACTATACGGTCTTCACGTCTTAAAAATATTTTTCGTAATAAAGTTATAATGGGTTTGAGATATTTCTAATTCGAAATAAGATAACTTTTGAGTTGCCATTAAATATGTTTCAAAGACGAGGATAATATTACTATGTACATTGATCTAATGAGAGAGATTTCAAATTCCTAATATATTTTCCAATGCAAACAACTTTTACTAGTAATATTTGCTTCTTAAAAATTGGGTTACTAATATTTTTCAGAGCTTATCAATGCAGCTAAGGGAAACTCTATATATAGTCTAAGGAGTTAAGCAAGGAACAATTGCATTCCCATGCAACTAGTTTGAATCGTAAGGTTTTGAATGAATCCAAATAATATGTGGAATCATTACATATTCCATTATAATTTCACACACAGATTTTAAATTACAAGTTAATTGCTGTTATTATTCTCATGGAATTATAGTTAAATTTTTTTATAAAATAATAAATTATATTCAAATACAAAAAAATAATAATTTATAAATTGTTTATTATAATAATTTTCTACAATAAATTCACCGCATTTTTTTGTCTAACTATATCTTTCAAAGAATCAAAAAACCCATGTGAATGCTCGTTCCTAAGTGAGGACTCGGGTTGAAAAAAAAATTTGCTCCCTTTTTTACCTGTTGAGTCATCCAATTTTGGGTAATTCTCTACAATTTTGATGATTTGTAAATGATACTCTTAATATAAATTTGAAATATTGAAAAGAAACTAACCTTATTATATAAAAAAAGTTAGAGAACAAAAAAAAAGTACATAAGATATTAATAACTACTTTCCAAAAAAAAGATATGAATAATTTTAAAGATTTGATCGTGAAATTATTAACAAATTGGAATATATATCATATCTTTAAACTGTCGTATGGTGGGATATCTACAATTTGTCTGGACTTGAAATTCACGCAAGTTTTTATTTTTTGAAAAGCCACCAAACATCATATTTATAATCCAACAATTAAATAAAACAATTTACAAAGAGAAAAAGATATCAAAATGTAGGTTTGTCTATCAATCATAATGTGATGATGATGATTAAAAGGTAAAAAGATAAAAACAATTACAGTTTCCCCATTATTAAAACAATTATTAATGTAATTTATAATATCTTTATTTTAGCCTTTTGCTTTTATCGAAAAAAAAAATACTTAAAAAAACTCAAAACCTCAAACCCAAAAGTCTTTCTCTCCCGAGAGCTTTTTCAATCCTGTCGATGCTAAAACTAAAAGGATGTCAGTCCTTTTTCTCTGCTTAAGCACTTAAATTTAAATTATAGCAACCTTTTCTAATTGCATAATCATATACTCTATGATTTGAATCATATATATATATATATATATATATATATTATTCGGTCATAAAAATTATGGTTATTGTTCCTTCTGAAAGATGCTTGCCGGGTGCAGAAAATTATTTAAACTATCATATCATATGCACACCAAACTCATTATAATGTATCTTAATTTATTCTAATTCATCTAAGAGCTTCCACTAAACATCACTCATTATTCTCTTTCTTGTGAAATATTATTTGGATTCTCTATTAAATTCCCTTATAAGAGTATCCAAAATTTTTTAATTTATAAAAAACTTAACTAATCTTTTATCTAAAAATAACAATAAAGTTTTTTCTTCAAAAATACTAACTATAAAAAATTAGCATATAAATAAAACCACCCTACAAATAAGTTAGAGTTGAAATATTTAAAAATATTCAAGAAAATATTAATTATTCTGTTAATAAATGTAAATATATTAATTGTAAAATTTTACTTTATTTTTAGAAAATTAAATGGTTTTTGGCTATCAATCAATAATTAATATAACTTCTTAATGTTTAAAAATATATATATAATTTTAAAAAAACTCTAAATCGTTTTTACTAAATATCAAAGTTATATTATATATAATCATCCCTTGATTTTTTTTCTATAACCATTAATATAGATTTTTAAAAAAATAATTTAATGGAATCAGAAGATAACACAAAAGAAACAAACAAAATAAAAGAAATCATTGGAGAACAAGTGGAGGCTATATTGAATATATTTTATTTTAAATTCAAACCGATCTAATTCTATTTAAAAATAATAATGACAAAAGAGAGACCTAAGATTTTAGGTATCGAAGTTGAAAGAAACAATTTATTTCATCGAAATTTTCGTAGAGGAACAATTTATCTCATCGAAAGTTGGGCCCTTTTTATTATATATATATATATATATATATATATATAAACATAAATAAATACATACATGTATATGTATATATAGAGGTATACCAATGCATATGGGGTGTGTATATCGGTGGTTTTTAAAAAGATTGGCTATTTATTTAGTATAATATGGTTATTTTTTAATTTATTCGATTTTATAAAAAAATAGTAACCACTGGGCATTTACATAGGATGCAGTTTGGTTTTTATTCGGGTTACTGATAAAAATGTTTATTTATTTTTAAAAAATGGGTTTTTGAATTCTTTTGAAATTTTCTGTTCATCATCATTTTCAAAAAAAAAAAAATACACGGTTTGTTAACATGGACTTTATAAATCAGAGCAGCTGAGGGTAAGAGTAGAGAACAGAACAGAACATAACTCTCTGTAAGAAAAAAGGAACCCAGCTGCTCCTCTTTCTGTTTCCTCTTTCCCTTTTCCCTTTTGGGTTTATTATCTCTTCGCCCGAAAAAGTTCAGTTGTCTGTAACCGATCATCATCATCATCATCATCATCATCATCATCATTTTCTGTATTCTGATCTTTTTGTTCTCTTCTTCCATTTCGGTGGCGACAATAAAGGAGGGTTGGTTAGAGGATATACAAGAACTTCACCAGATTGCATCTGTTATATTGTCTGAAAGAACAAGAAGAAACCCTAAGGTTTTCAAATCTCTTGTGTTTAGCTGCGTTTGGCTCCGTTTCTGATTAAGTATGCTTCTGACATGTGTTTTCTGGTTCTTAGGTTCCGTTTGGTCAGATGGATGGTTTGTGTTGGAACGACTCTGTCTACGCTCAAGAACCATTGATGGATTCCATCAACTGTTCTCAATATGTGAAACCCAGATCGGATTCGAGATGGGGAAGTGAACTGATAACTCCGGAGCTGTGTTCTTCTCAGCTCATCAACCTTCCTCCTCTGAGCAGTTTCATGGTTGACGTGGGACCCATGCAGCCGCAGCAACAGCAACGACAACATGTTAAGAACAGCTGTTCGATCGACCAATCACTTGACTGTTTATTATCAGCGAGCAACAGCAACAACACTTCAACGTCGGTGGAAGATGATGGCATTTCCGTGCTTTTCTCGGACTGCCAAACGCTATGGAGCTTCGGAGGAGTCTCGTCTGCGGAATCTGAGAACCGAGAGGTTGCTGAGACTGTCTCTCGGGTCGCTTCAGATCAAACGAAGCTCAAGTCTGCAGCAAAAAGAGCCAGAGCTGATGAAACAGGAAGTTACTTCCGTTTTGTTGGTCCCCAGGATGATGCATTTCCGACAGAAACTGGAGATTTCAAGCTCATCTACAATGAAAATCCGACAAAATCCAAGAAACCCAGATCAGAGAAACCATCAGGCTCATCTAGTATCAGTTTCCAGCAGCCCAGCTCGAACTCGACGTCCTTGTCTGGAGATACAGAACCGGACGCAGAGGCCATGGCTCAGATGAAGCAGATGATCTACAGAGCAGCAGCGTTCAGGCCAGTAAATTTCGGATTGGAGATGGCGGAGAAGCCGAAGAGGAAGAACGTGAGGATATCCACGGATCCACAGACGGTGGCAGCGAGGCATCGGAGGGAGAGGATCAGCGAAAGGATTAGGGTTTTGCAGAGATTGGTTCCAGGGGGGACAAAGATGGACACCGCATCAATGCTCGACGAGGCTGCTAATTACCTCAAGTTCCTTAGGGCGCAAGTAAAGGCGTTAGAAAACTTAAGCCCCAAGCCTGATCCATCGCCATCATCATCACTCCCCTTGTTCCACCCACCTTCTCTGTTTCTCCCCATGCAAAACCCTAACCATACACACGATCCACAGAGTTGAAAAAATCACTGATCCAGATCATCAAAACCCTTTGATTTGATTAACCCTAACGAAAAAGAGGATAATGATTAAAACCCTAATAACCAGTTTCCAAGAAAGGTACTCTGATCACAAGTCTCTGGGCACTGGTGTTTTTTTTTTTTTTGGGTGTGGATTCCATGGAAGTGTTGTTGGTGCAATTAGAGCATTGGAATTGTGAAAAAACAAAGCTGGAAATGGCTCACTCTCTGCAGCTCTGATCTGTTACACTTTTTTTTTTATATTGTTATTTTTTTTTATTTTCAGAAGAGCGTGAGGAAAAAAAGGCCGATTTTTTTTTTTTTGCAATTATGAAGCTATGATTGAGACCAAATCCATGAGTTTAGAAAGTCTGTCCTTTATTCTCTCTGTCCATTTTGGTTAAAGGCTGTAGCTTTTCTTGGAGATGTCGATCTTTCTCTTATCTATATGTAATACTCTTAATGTATGGATCCATCTTTTTCTGGATTACAAGAAATACTCATCTCTCTCTCTCTAGGTTAGTTTTTGTACCCAATAAACTCCATAGAAAAATAGAATCAGGGTTCAGTTATACTAGTTGTAAGGTGTGACAAATTAATTAATTAGAGACATTCCTGTGGATTTCTATTCAATAAACCACACTTAATACATGTCATGAAGGAGTTAAGTAAAGAAAGTGTAGTTATATATGTGATTGAGTATATATAAAAGAAAATATGGTAAGTTTTATAAAAAAAAATGAGTGTATGAGATTTTGTCCAAGTGTGTTCTAACTAAATTTTGGGAAACCAGTTTCAAATAAAATCAGGAAATTTATCTCTGATAGTTAGATATGTTGAAAGTGTAGGTATATGTGACGTTCAACTCTTTAATTTTGAATGGTAACAAATATTTGCATGTATCATGTTCCATAAGTAAAGAAAGAAAAAGCTTGTATATCTCCAAACCAATTAAACAAATTGTTGTCAATATATATATATATATATAGGTTATAATCAACAACTAATCAAAGATTAGGGCTAAGTATGTTGCAAGACTCTTGGGTTTAGAAGTCAATGATAAGTAAAAAAAAACAGTCTTTAAGATCGCACTTCATGATTCATCACATGTAATATCAAAAAGAAAATGAGAAATGGTATATATGATGAAGCGGTAGAAAAAAGAAACATTCTCTGAAGATAAAGAGAGAAAAAGAACTGGAGAGAGAGATGAGGATGTCTCCTGGATTGAACCCAAAGCGTGCATCTTGAGAATCACTCCCTCTCTGAACATCCTCAAATGCTCTGCACATGCTCTCTCTCTCTAAAACCCTACAATAATCTATATATGCTTCTCTTTTGGCTCATGGGTTTTGTCTTATTCTTCCATATTTTCGATTTACTCTCCTCTCTCTCTATATATATATATATATATATATATGTATGTATGTGTATGTGCGTTCTGTTAATAATGATATATGCTCAATTGTTTAATATGTTATGTTTTCCTCGTGTTGTTTGCAAAGTTAAGCCATTCAAAGGCTAGCAAAAATACTATTTTATGATAATCGTCTAAGTTCAGATCCATGGATAGGAAGACAACAAAAGCGGTTATGTTCCTTTGTTTTTTACCTCCGAGCGACGCTTCAAAGCTGAATGTATGAAGCAATCACATACATACCAGAAGAAGTCAAGAACCTGACGTGTTGTCTTGCATTTGGGCCGAAGCTCGGCCCATTGGGCCGGCAGCTCACGTTCTTTTTTATTTTTATTTAAAAAATAATTCTGAATCCCCAATGAGTTTCTCGCTCCTCGACTCGTGACACATTTTTCCTTCGCTGCCGCATCTGCCCTATTTCTCTCTCTCTCATCGGCGGTTCCCACCGGCGCTTGTTCTTTCTCCGGCGACTCTTGCCGTCCTCCTTCGCTCGACGCCCAAGTATGCAAAAAAATTAAAAAAGATACAAATTTTCCAAAACCAGCAAATCCAAATAAAAGAGTAGTTAAACCGAACTCGAATCCAAACCGGAAATCTCCACCCTTTCGATCGGTCTCCAGATTCGGTCGTCTCCCTTTTTTCCCCCTCAGTTTTGCTGTGAGTCTGCAATTCCCTTTGTCTTTGTGAAATTGGGAGTGTTAGGGTTTTGGAAAGAGGAAACACAGAGTAAGACTACATCTGCAGCGGTTTTGTCTGACGACGGAATACGTTCGGTGATCTGTTAGCGATGGCGGCGCCCGCCGAGAACTTCAACGGGAATGTGGCGGATCAGCAGGTTCCGCCTCGGCTGCAACCACTTGTAACGGACATGACTGGTATTTGCTTCAGGGATCAGCTATGGCTCAACACCTACCCCCTTGACCGTAACTATGTCTTCGACTACTTCGCTTTGTCCCCCTTCTACGATACGACCTGTAACAATGAATTGCTTAGGAGGAGATCCGTACACCCTCTCGACCTCTCGCAGCTCTCGTGAGTTTCTCATTGATCTTGATTTCTACTTGAATTTTTTTTTTATTTCTACTTGAATTGGGTGAATTGGGTGACAATGTTATAAGAATCCTAGGTTTATGATGATTTTGAGTCAATGCTGTTTTCGCATCTATTTTTGCTTGCTGGTTTGGAGGGTTTAAATCTCAAAGTTCAAGACTTTCTAGTTTTGGTCCCTGTTTGGCTGGTGGCTCAATGTGTAAATTGAAAGAGAGATTCTAGATTGATGGGTTTGATGAGAAAAATACATTGGAGGAAGATGCGGAAACCTATGCAATGGTTAGTATTTGGAAATGAAATCTGTATGAAGGTTTGGATAGAGTAGTTCATGATCATTTCCTCTTGTGCAGGAAGATGACAGGCCTAGAATATATGCTCACGGATGCTACGGAACCAAACCTGTTTATAATCCGTAAGCAAAAGAGGGACGGTCCCGAGAAAGTTACCCCGATGCTAACGTATTATATCTTGGACGGTTCCATATACCAAGCACCGCAGCTTTGTAACGTTTTTGCAGCACGAGTTGTAAGTTCTTGCCTTTCCCCTTATCGGGTTCATTTTTTGCCAAGAGGAGCATAGTGAAAAAGAAGAAACCCTTGTTAGATCGGTCTCTGCAAGTATGGATTGAAAAAGATCTGCTTTGAATGTTTCTCCTCTATCTCATGCAGTTACTGTTTTTCACATGTAAACCAGGGCCGTGCTGTTTATAACATATCAAAGGCGTTTTCTTTTGTCGCATCAAAGCTAGAACCAATTAGACAGGGTAAGCTTTTTCTATGATATCTTGTCTAAAGATTCATGGTTCCGTTCTTTAATCGGTCCACTAGAGATCTTCTCTGACATTCAACATGATATGAATAGCCTATGTACCGTGCAAAGGGACCAGCTTTCTTTTGTCTGAACTGCTTGCTGATGAAAGGGACTCCAAAAGATAGCAGAAATTTATAGTTAACTACAGAAGCTTCTTCTATGTATGTTGAAAACTTCAGGCGATGCTGAAAACCAAAAAGAAGCATCTGAGTCGAAGCCAGCTAGTGAGACGGTGGACTTGAAGGAAATGAAGAGAGTTGATACCATCATGACCTCGTTATTCCGCAAGGTAAGCTGTACTTTTGGACAGATATAAAGCATATGGGTCTCTCTGCCTAAGATGTAACAGCAGTTTCCGGTTTCCTTATATACATTTCGATCGGTTGTCTGAAGCAGTTGCCACCTGCACCGCCCCCGCCAGCATTTCCAGAAGGATATGTGAGCCAGGAAGCGTCGGGAGAGAAGGAAGATCTGGCGGAGTCACAGCCTCAGATGGATCCGATCATCGATCAAGGTCCTTCTAAAAGGATGAAGTTCTAAGCTTTCCAAGATTTGCTTCGAGGAGAGGTGTAAGGCACCAACAAAAACACTCCCTTAGTTAAGCTCTAGTAGTCGGTCGGTCCAGGACGTAGGTATATCGATATCGACGGGTACTTGTGAACGGGAAAGCTGTGGAATCCCTTTTTCAAGACCTGGGGAATATAGTTCGATATTGTACACGTCCGTCTGAGATCCACAAAATCCGAATTCGAACCAGATGATGGGTTAATCGGTGCACGAACTTCGAATCCGGATTCGGATTGGATTGGAAATTCGAAAATCGATTAATTTTCTTAGTCCTAACAAGCATCCAGAAAAGAAAACCGAATGATAGAAATATTGAATTAAAATAACCCATCGGAAAAAATCATAGATAGGGATAAAAAAAATATTAAGGGATTTATTCCCTTCAAGTTCAAGCTTATCTTCCTATATCATACCATAAAATGTCGAAATGGACGGAGTATATATTATTTTCGTAATTGCAAATAAATCAAAACGTAGAAAGTCAACCTTCTTCTAGACGTACGTACGTATGTATATATTGTCTCCAACTTTGACAACTAATTAAATACGCACACCCATTAAATTTGACGTATTAATTTATTTCCCGAAGACGCCATGCATGCATGCAGATTCGCCCATTATGGCAATGCTCCTTCTGCCCGTTGAAATATTTTATTTGTCTTCCCTTGCAGTATTATTAATTTTTTAAATTTATTTATTCCAATTTAACATCTTTGTCTAAATTAATCCGCACATTAATTGCTCTGTGTTTATTTTTCATTCGTTCTTGTTAAAAAACGATAAAAGGGTATTATATTCAGAATATTAAATGATACATTAAGTTTATATATATATATATATATATATATATTGTTTGGAATTGGGGAACGCGACTATGAGAAGAGTAATGATTTTGAGATACAAAATGATAATGTTGGGCGAATTGGAGCAAAGGCATTAAAAAAAACAACATATGAAGATGAATGGACCCATGACTAAATTCATTTAACATTCGTATCGGGAGATGTGTCGTATGGACAGTGGATCCGATTCAGATCCAAACAGACGAAAACTTCATGGGATCACAATCGTATTATGATTATTTTATTTCTCATATTAATGATTTTCTGCTAAAATGATTTATTATGGACTTTTTTTTGTTAACGGATTTATTGTGGACTTTGAATTACATACAAGTCTAAATGGTTATAAAACCCTAGACATATAAATGACTTTAGATTTATATAATTTTACGCAAAAAATGGGTTTTTTTTACAGGAGTGCAAGTAAAAAAAACACAAATATATTTGAATAACAATTAAATAAAATTTTAGAAAATCTCATATAAATTGATTCAAGTTTACGAAAAAATCATATATAATAGTAAACTTTTACATTAATAGGAAATAATATAAATTTACAATAAAATTTAATGTTATTCATAAAATTTAAGAAAAATTGCATATCAATTTAAAACTGCCAAAATTTGGAAAAATTATAACATTTCCCTAAAACGAGTTTAAATTACCGTTATACACCTATGACGTGTCAAATCGAAAATGTATGTATGTATGTATGTAGGTGTTTCTTTTGTTGTTCGTGAATAGTTGAATTTTTCAAAACCTAATTTTTTTTATTTTGAAGAATAACCTTTTTAGAATATGAAATAGATTTAATATCCTATTTAAATTGTTAATTTAAATAGAATAATTTTGACACGGTTCGTTCGGTTACAGACCAAAATCTCTCGTACTTTCCAATAAACTCTAAACCCTAAGGGGCTAAGGCCCCTAACGTTGCCAATGACTCTTAACTCCTATATTTTTTAAAGAAATATTTAAAAAGTGTTTTTTTTTTCACTTTATAAAAACTTATAAGAAAGGGAATATAAAACGTCGAATATAGTTTTGAGAATATTCTTTTTATTTATTTGGAATTTATCCAAAATGGAGTTCTTTTTTTTTCTTTGTTAATTGGGCCTAATACTAGATATTGCAGATAATCATCAATTTTATAAATGGGATTATTTTTTTTATACACTAGATATAATTGCCAAAACAAATACCAAATGTTAGTCTAGCTAATTAACGTCTGAAATTTTGATTTCTAAGCCTGAATGCTAATTGAAATAACCCAATAATATATATTTTCCCAATAAAATTAATGCTTAAACTATCAAACGATGGTTAATTAAAATATCTTGTATTTTTTTCATGATAATCATGATCCATCTGCAGAACGTGATCTCAGAATTGAATTAGATATTGTGCTCATTGCTCACACATTGAGCAGTTATCTCAATTAGTGATCCCGTACTCTTTGATTATAGACTAAAATTTATATTTGAACCAAAAAGAAAAAAAAAACTTTAGATAAGAATTTGGGGTTTCAATGATATTTGGTATTTATGTGGGGGCATATCTCCATGTAATTTAAATTTACCATGCCCATTTACGCAGGAGTAAAAATTACTTGTAGGTCACACAAGAGAGAGAGAAAAGAGGCAGAGTAGGGGGTGCGTAGGATAGGAACCAGACATCATGCTTTGCTTCCTCCACTAAACAACAGAGAGAGAGAGAGAGAGAGATTGATTGCGTGTGTTTTACACTGAGATCCCCAATCCCTCAAATTTCCCTTTGTTTCTTTGCTGTTTTCCCTTTGGGATTAGAATCACAGATTCCCGTCTCGCTCTCATCCCCGTAGAAATCAAAGCTCTTTCCTTTAACCGTCTGTATTTCCATCTCTCTCGTCCCTTTCGGAGTCTAGAGAGAGAGAGGGGGCAAAGTGGAAAAAGAGGAAGTGAAAGAGAAGAGAACCCACCAACGCGTGCATTAAAAAACACGAGAGAGAAAAATTGGAAAAGCAAAGCTTGACGATTCGTTTAAAATCCCACCACCAGCCACAAACCCTTATCATAGCTTAAGAGCATCTCTCTCCCTCCCTCTCTCTTTTGTGGGCCTTTTCCTTTCTTGTTTTCTCCAGAGGTGTTTTCAGGTTTTCACGCGGGGCTGAAGGGTTTGGTGAGTTGTAGAGGTTCCTTCCCTCTCTGTGGCGAAAGAAAGTTCATTTTGATGGCAGATAGGGTTCTTGTGATGATATAAGTATGTGGGTTCTCACGGGTGTAGGCAAAGTTTGTTCTTTTGCGTGAAGAAATAATTAACTTTTGGACATAGATTTCGAGTTTCAAGTGCTGGGTTGTTGAATCACTTCCCTGTTTGGGCATTTTGCCGGAGAAAGAAACGAGAGAAGAAGATCTTCCGTTGCTTCCTCATCTAACAAATGGGGGATCGTCCGAGAAACGGTGCAATTTGTCCCAAGCTTCTGAATTTGATCCCTAAAGACAGAGAATGGTACCAAAACGAGAAATCGAGCAGCGCATGTTGCAGTACAGAGGAGAAGAAGCTCGAGCTGAGGCTTGGATTACCTGGTGATGATGATTATTGTTTGGAAATGAAGAACACAGAGACAAGGAACAACAGCAAGAACATGAAAAATGCCAAACATGACACAGAGGACAGCTCTCTGTTCTGTCTCGGTAACCACTTTTCGCCTTCCACAACCAGAACCATAGCTGTTCCTCACAGCTCACAGAAACGGTAATACCTTTTTTGTTCTTTCAAGATTTCTTTTTCTTTTTCTTTTACACTTTTTTTTTCTTGTTTTCCTTTTGTGCTCTTATGACAGAGGATCTTCCCTTGAAATTCGGTCCCATATCCTGCAAAGTTTGATCATTTCCCTTGTAAATGGATCTCAGTGTTGTTGTTTTTCTACCTTTCTGATTTTGTTTCTTTTTAACCTCACATGTGAAAGCTGCAGCCTTTTTCTTGGCCCTTTTACCTTATCATATTCACAGTAAATTCTCTACTCTCTGTCCACTCGTATGATATTATGACGACTGGTACTTTGCTGAAGCGTTCGGCCCGTTTTCGTTGTTTCTTATTTCTTGGTTTTCGCAATCGGAAATAATCGGCCTTCTCAGTAGAAAGCTGTTTTCTTTCATGTCCTGATGTAATTGTATACGAGCCCTGAACATGTAATAATTACTGCTGTTTGTACCCATTTGTTTTTGAGTTATTAACTCTGTTTCTTGAATTCTTGGGGAAAAATTAAAGAACTGCTCCTGGGCCAGTGGTGGGTTGGCCGCCAGTCCGTTCATTCAGGAAGAATCTAGCGAGTTCAAGCTCTTTGAAGGCGGGAAACGACTCCCCCAATGGCGGACAGAACAAGCTCGATGCTGAAAAACCAGTGGAACAAAAGACGAAAGGTCTGTTTGTGAAGATCAACATGGATGGCGTTCCTATTGGTCGTAAAGTCGATCTCAATACCTATAACAGCTATGATCAGCTCTCCTCTGCCGTCGACAAGCTCTTCCGTGGTCTTCTTGCAGGTTACAGACTTGTTCAGTACTTGTTCTTGTCTTTTTGTTATATATGATCTGCTGTTATAGTATGATGCTGCTGTTACGGAGGTATTTTGATCGTTGAGACTTGGATTAAGAGTCTACTAAGCGAATGATTAGAGCCCTTTGCTTTATATGAGTTTGGCAACTACCCAAACCTTAGATTGTTCTACTGTGAACTTATTGTTGAAAATGGTTTAGGGAACTTCAGAAATGGCCAATTCCTCGGAGCCCTTTTGCTTTATCTCACTCTGTGTGGCAAAATCAAAGATATAGATGTTCTACTGTGAGCTTTAGTTTAGATGTAATGTACGGACAAAAGATCATCTTTTGGCAACCATAGAACTTGTTTAGTTGTGTTTTACATGAACATGGCTTTCTTTTTTCCCGAAGAGCCCGAGAATAAGTAGCTTTGCTTTGGTATGTACGCGTTTCAGCTCAGAAAGATTCCTCTGGTTGTGGAAACAAGCAAGGAGAAGATAAACTGATCACGGGATTGTTGGACGGTAATGGAGAATATACTCTCACTTACGAAGACAGCGAAGGAGACAAGATGCTTGTTGGGGATGTTCCATGGCAGTAAGAACACCTCCTCTTTTTCTTGTTCTCTTCTCATTGTTAAATCTCCTTTTTTCATCTTTGAATCTGATGCAGTTTTATATACACTGTTCCCTTTTTTTTATTAGACTCCAATACTTGAAAACAGTGCCTCTATGGGAAGCAGAATTAGATTCCTCATCACATAGCAACAGTTTCTTTCTCTTTATTGATTCTCATCCCCCTTTCTGTTTTGGCACACTGTCAGATCTTGAATACATCCAAAATAAGAGAATCTTGCTTGGAGCTTACTTAAATCTAATCTTGCATTCTGATCTTGTTTTCTCTTGGGTATTGACACATTGAATTCGATCCCAGTATGTTTGCACCGTCGGTGAAGAGGCTGCGTGTGATAAAAAGCTCCGAAGTTCCCTCTGCCCTAATGTGTAAGTGTTACGATATCCCGGGATTAAAACCGATTTCCATATGGAATCCGAAAGCACTAACCAGAAATGGGTTTCTTCTGCTTCGTCTGCAGCTGGCGGCAGTAAGCAAGAGAGGATGAAAAGCTGAAGGAACTTTTGCCGGAACCAAGAGGATGCTGTTTCTTTCACTTTGGCGCTGAGTTTCTGGTCTTGAATCCATATTCTTACAACTTCTTCATGTACATGTGGTTTGTCTACATGCAATCTTGTTTTTTTTACATTTGAATTTTGATTTGTATGATTGGCTCCTCCCTTTTGGATTCAAACATGAGTTCATGAGACATTTTGAGCGGTGAAACCATTAAAAAATTTGATTTAGATTTGGGATGATGAAGAAAAATAGAGAGCAATAGTTAGAAAGAGTAGATTTAATGCCTAAAAGGTTCAAGATAATTTTGAGTTTGTGTATTGACGTTATCCGGTTGGATAGGAGGAACCCTAGTCCGAATTTCACAATTTGATTAAACTTCTAACAATATTAAGAATTCGAAATTCAGATACTTAAAACCTATGAATTCGAAATTGGATTACAATAATAAGAATTCGAAATGTGCCACCCTTAATCATGGTTTAGGGTGTAATTACGGAAAAGCAAAGAACATCTTTTTTTTTTTATATGCAAAGCTCTTTCACTTTTATTTCAATCAGTTTATTTAATTGATTCCAAATTTCAGTTAATTTTAAATCTGTCAGTGCAGCTGAAAGTGATTGCTCTTTGCCTTTTATGGTTCTGTCCAAAAGATGTTTGGACCCGTATGATAGCGAACTGTCCATCTCTTTTGTACTTGTGCCGAATTTTCTGATTTAATGATTTTTTAAAAAAATCAAGACTTTATTTTTAAAATAAGCTTTTTTTTATAGAAATATTGATTCCCAGGTTATAAAGCTTAATTTTGCTGCTTATTACAATACGCAGGTTTGGGAATAAAATTCACGAAAATGTCGCTGCATTTTTTTTTTTGTTCTTTTGAAATTGCAAACACATTCTTCGGTATCGAAATATTTCAGTAATGTATATATATATTTAAATTATAAATTATCGTTAAGACAAATGAACGGTCGATATTAATATTGAAAATTATATTAAAAAAGACATAAAAATGGGTGGTGTAGATACAAGTTAAAAGGTCTAATTCGTTTCATGAGATAAAAAAAAAATCAATTTGTAATTGTATATATATATATATATATATATGTATGTATAAGATATCTTTGTTTCTTCTTTTTACATACAATAGAGTTTTAAAGTATGAATTTCCATCCCACAATGCTCTGTCTAAAATAACAGAATAAAACGGAACAAAAGTAATTAAGAGAAACACTGTTTGGCGTTTTACGATTTCATTGCCAGAACGTGTGCCGTTTAAAGCTGGCATAAACATGGGCCTTGGTAGCCCTAATGTTTGGGCCCAAAGCTAGGCCCAGATCCACCCAAAGAAAGACCCCGTTAATTCTTGCCGTTAGAATTTTATCCCCAAGGACTAATAATAAAAGCCATCTTTGGGGGTAAACAAAATAGCAACGATATGTATTATTAAAACTAGATAATTTAATTTTAAAATGTTACACTAATCATATTAATTACAAAATTTAACAATTATTCAAACTCTTTTATTTATATATAAGATTTGTAGTGACAATCACGATATGCAACATTTCATAGTTTTTGGAGACATTGTCATAGCGAAATCACAAGTTTGTAGCCAACATAACGAATAGCCCTTTGTAGTTTGCATACGCGTATTTAATCCATTTTAACATCTTATATTATAATATAACATTCAACAGTCGTATTTAATAATAAAATATTAAAATTTGAGATTTTGTTATTTATTTGGTCACGTGATGTTCGAGAATGGGTCGGAGTCGGGATCTCTAATATCGAGTATAAACACAATGCTCCGTAAGGACATTTCTTATTATTAGAGGGAAAAAAAACCCACCTTTTGATTTCTTTTGGAGGTGACTTTCGTTTTTTCCTTTTTATATTCTTAATTATAGTTTTAATATAATTTTATCTGTTCTCATTTCTTGCATTAGATCCTTGTTCTTTTTCTTTTGATTTTCCAGTGTTTGTTATTTTGAAAATATATGTTTTAAATAATAATAATAATAATAATAATAAACAAAGGCCGGTCCATCATTTGTTTTCCTCATGACATCATTTTGTCTTTGTAAATTCAGTTTTCCACGAGGTTGTGTCAGATAGGGATTTTTCAAAATAATAATTACTCCCCTGAAAAAAATCCATAACTCTGTATATCTGTCATATAAATTATTAATTTATTACAAACCAGTCTATCAGTTTCCTTTCGGATATCATTATGATAGGCTCTAAAAGGCTATAAAAATCTACTGTCAATCTTCTTAGAGAGTGAAGATTTTATATTTAGTTTAAATTTTTTATATTTCTAATAAATTATACATTTTTTTGTAAGCAATTGCACATTGCATTTGAATTTTATTTACTTTATAATTTAGGTTTGATTTTAAAAAATATATCTACATATTTTTTAATCATACTATGATTATGTTATTCGAATATATGTATATATGTATATATATAAAGTGAAATATTCATTGACAATTCTGCATACTCTATGAAAAAACACTTAATATGTTTTCCATTAATGATTACCTATTTTATTTTATTTAAGATGGAGTGATGAAAGTGTATATTCTTCAATATAATTTCAAATAAACGAATTATCTATGTTATGACTAAGAGTAAACAGCTTTTTTTTGTTCTTCCTTGTCCCTGCTGATATTACCATACATAGAACTTTTGAGAGTTACTAACATTTAAAATTCAAATTTTTAACTTTTTTATATTTTGGGTTAGAATCATGTCTCAAATTTAAATTTTCCCATCTTGTTTTCTAAGAAACGTAAACCTTAAAGAATCTCAAAACCAAAATCTCAAATAAACAAAATTTTATAATCAGTCCAGACTTTGCATAACCATGTCAGGTTTAAATCAAAGAATATTTTATTCATAAATGCGATCCAAAAATATTATTTTCAAGAAAATCTTTTCAAGAAAGTCTCTCTCTCTCTCTCTCTCTCTATATATATATATATATATGCTGATTTATTTGGAGTTCTTTGTCTTTTAGAATGTTTTCTCAGCTAAAAACATCCTTCGGTGTCTTGAGTTTCAGTGCCATGAAATTTGTTTCCCTCTCCATTTCCACATTCACGAACCTCTCTTCTGGGTATTTGTGATTTCTCAAATCTCTCTGTAATCGTCTCTTTAAATCCAAACCACAGAATTTTGTACGTCTTCCGAATCCGAAGAGAAGAAAATGGACAAAGCGGCGAGATGGTTAAAGGGCTTGTTCGGCAAGAAAAAGGGCAAAGAAAGGGAAAATAGAATCTCCGGCGGAGATTCCGTTGCCGGAAAAAGCAATATTCCTGGAAATATTCTCCCGGCGGACCCAGCTTGGCCGAGAACTTACACGGCGGAATCAGAGATGGAGCAGAGCAAGGGAGAAAGAAACGAGAGAAGAAGATCTTCCGTTGCTTCCTCATCTAACAAATGGGGGATCGTCCGAGAAACGGTGCAATTTGTCCCAAGCTTCTGAATTTGATCCCTAAAGACAGAGAATGGTACCAAAACGAGAAATCGAGCAGCGCATGTTGCAGTACAGAGGAGAAGAAGCTCGAGCTGAGGCTTGGATTACCTGGTGATGATGATTATTGTTTGGAAATGAAGAACACAGAGACAAGGAACAACAGCAAGAACATGAAAAATGCCAAACATGACACAGAGGACAGCTCTCTGTTCTGTCTCGGTAACCACTTTTCGCCTTCCACAACCAGAACCATAGCTGTTCGGCCGCACCCGCCGCAGCGGCGCAGGCTGCGGAAGCGGCGGCTCAGGCAGCGGTTGCGGTGGTTCGGCTGACGTGTAACGCCAGAGTCGGTGGTTTCATCGCCGTGGCCGCTGGGACCGGGAGAGAGAGATGGGCTGCAGTGAAAATTCAAACCGTCTTCAGGGGCTACTTGGTAGTTTATCACTCTGACTTTGATTGGAAAAAAAAAGTTATTTTTTTTACATCGAATCACGTACAAAGATCAAATTTTGCCATGTGGGCATTGCTTAGATTCGGATTTTGGAGGCTTTCGCTTTAAGTTACACTCTTAGGGTACGTATATCTGTAGTTTGTATCAGTTAAAAAAGTACATTGCTTGGTCCTTACATCTTCGTTGACATTGTCGCATTTGGACAGCAACTTCCTAATGAATCAGCACATTATCATTCCAAAATGTAACGAATTCGAATGATTTCGAGGTATAGGCAAGGAAAGCGCATAGGGCTCTGAAAGGTCTGGTGAAGTTACAAGCACTGGTGAGAGGTTATGTCGTGCGAAAACGCGCTGCCGAGACGCTGCATTGTATGCAATCTCTCGTCCGGGCCCAAGCCGCAGTCAGATCTCGACGAATCAACCGTTCGTTGGACAACAGAGATTGCAACGACAAGTTTCAGCCCCGGCATTCTATGGTAAGAACAATCACATTTTCGTTACTTTTCAGTTCTATAAATTTGGATAGATGTAACAATTTCTTCAATGTAGATCGTTTACTATAAACCACTATGTGCTTTGTTTCTTGGTGTAGGAGCGTTTCGATGAATCGAGGAGTGAAATCCACAGCAAGAGGATGTCAATCTCGGTCAAGCAACAATGGAACAGCGCCTGCGATGGTAACGTTAATTTTATTCGATCTAAGTATCAATCTTAACTGTTGAAATATAAAATCCTGAATCTTAACATGTTGAAACGAAGGAACATAAATTCGATTATGTGACGGAATCCGTAGTTTCTGGCCTTCTAGATTAGTTTCATTGAAAATAATTCCGACAGGTAACAGTCCGAAGATCGTGGAGATGGATACGTGCAAGTCGAGATCAAGACCAAGGCGGCGGATGAACATAGCAGCGTTGTCCGAATTTGGGGATGATCAAGATTTTGAATGGAGTTATTCGCCATTAGAGAAGTGCAAGTTCTCATACTCGAACAATAATAATCTATACTTGCCACAGTCACCGGCGGCTAAGAGCGTATGTTATGGTCCGAGGACACCGCCGAGTTATATGGCGAATACGCAGTCGTTTAAGGCGAAGCAGAGGTCTCACAGTGCCCCGAGGCAGCGTCCAGAGAGGAAGAGGCTAACGCTGGATGAGGTCATGGCCGCTAGGTTCAGCGTTAGCAGCGTTAGGAGCGTTCAACAGCAACGCGACTCGATGCAGTTTAGGTTCTTCAATTAGGAGAAAATCGTTTGGTCCCTCAGGATCCATAACTTATATATGAAGAGATTTTAGTTTTCTTCATTTTTTTTACCTTTTTTGTTCTCTTTCTGTAAAATTGCTTTGAAGAGAATTGTTAAAGCTGCTTCTATGCTTTTATAGGTTTCTTTTTTTTTTATTGAATTTTATCTTATTATAATTATAAATATATCACGTTATTATATAATAAATTTATAATTGTGATTGAAAATTTATTATTTTAAAATTATTTTTATAATACTCGTATCTTAAACTAAATAAATAACTATATCTATAAAAAAATATAATATTAAATAGTATATTTATTATCGACCATTTCAATCCTAATTTTAAAAATATATATCATAATATTAAATTATGTTACTGTAAATATATTTTATATTGGCTATAAAAAATGTATATTGATATAATTTATAGTGTTTAGTTATTTTATAAATATTTTATATTTGATTTGATTTGTTGAATGATTTGAATTTTATAAGGATGTTTTAGTAATTAAAAGTTGTTTAGGATTTTTTAAGATCAAAATTTTATTTAGATTATTCAATGGTTTGGTGATTTCCCAAAATTCAAAATTTAAAGTTCCGAAGGGTTGAGAAAAATCGTAGTATTAATGAGGAAAGGATTTATGCATGAGGGTGGAAAATTGAAATTGCATTAAATAGAAATCCAAAGCGCCGGTCAAAGGATATGTTGACGTCATCATAGTTCTGATTTTCAAAATCTTTTGTGTATTGTTTCCTATTCCTAATCATTTTTGTTTTGAAACCGAGAAGGAATGTGATTGGTCCGAGAGCGTGATGTTTGCGTCATCATATTCGTCTCTCCGAGACAAAACATAATAATAATATTTGCATTGTAATCTCCAACAAAAGATTCCCTCTAAACCTTTTAATTAAGCGAGGTTTTCTATTTAATTAATTACTTAATCGTGGTTTCATAGTAGGATTAACTGTTATAATGTTACCGTTCAGATTTTTGTTCGTTTGTATTCATTTGAATTTTTGTTTTGATAAAAGTATTCATTTGAATTTTAAGTTAAATTTCAACTTGTATTAAGAAAAATATTTATTTAGGGTGATCATATCCTCACATTAAAGTGTTGTTTTGATAGTCATATTCTTAGGCTTTGATAGATTTTTCATTATTTTCTCAGAAAAGAAAAAATATTCGTTAATTTATTATAAATTGATAAAGAGTGGCACAAAAAATTGGAAATATCTTTAGAAAAAATGATAAGCAAACATCGAATGCTCTTCCTGCATCACGGGGGGCTGAAGTTGACTTGTGAGTGTACGGATTTATCCATTTCTTGACCAAACCCAAGAAGCAAATCGCCAAGTCGAGATCGAATCCATCGGAAAATGTGGACCGGAAGAGGATGAGGATTTACCGAATGTAAAGGAAGGGGCCATTGCGAGAATTTGGGGAAACATTGGGGCAAAATTGAAAGAAATCGAAGGCGACAACCAATCATCAATGGACGTTGAAGCATGGGGGAAGAGATCTTTACATAAACTATAAATCTATGGAGAAAACCGGCTATAAAGCAAATTGAAACATAAGTAGTTTTACGAGTAAACCGATAATGAAAACGATTCGAATTGGTTCACATTCACAGTTGCAATAAGGTGAGGAACAGAGAATCATTTCATGTTAAGGGGAAAAAAAAAAGCTTGGAAACAATAAGTAAAAGTAAAATGTTAGTAAACGTACCGTACGCTCATCATTCACGTACCAAACGCTATGGACGAGAAGAGATACGTAAAAAAAAATGTAGACTCGGAATCGGCTCTGAGGAGTGAAAAAATGGTCGGCTCTCCAAAGGGGCTTTCCATTTTACAAAGTCCCATTAGCCATTACCATTACTCCTCCTGTTGATGGGTGACCATCGAAAAGAAAGAAGATCTGTGTTGCTGCTGAATTAAGAGAATTTCCTGCTTACGGTATCGTAGCTCGGGACATTCATCACTGCCAACGGAAAGTTCAAACGCGAAAAAAATAAATTTGAATACTTCCGACGGGTGAAGAAATCATAGGGTCAAGCACAGCTTTTAAAGGATTTGAGTGAACGATTACCGTCTCCGAAAGATGCCATTGTCAAAGGCTTTGCGATAACCTTGCTGGTGAAGTCTGCAATGTCCGTAAGGGTGAGTTGGTCTACTGTCTTCAAGAATTGCTCCACTGGCTTCCTGCCATACTCACTTCTTCTATTACTCTCATGCTATAGATTCAGATTTCTCGGTTCATCAATTTAAGGAACTAATCGTCATTTGAGAAGCTTTGGACAGAAATATAGAAAGAAAGAGTAAATCGATTTAAAGACAGTTGCAAGTACCTCTCCCCATATGTCAGTATCTGTCTGCCTATGTCTTCTGCTGCAATCATCTGCCAGACCACAGAAACTAAAAATCATTATATTCACTTCAAATGGCATGCGTTACAAGTGGACGTTGTGGTAGCCTGAGCAAAAAGGTTTATTTAAACCGAGGGCGAAAGCTATAGGTACCCGGGATTCCAGATTCATCAGAACGGCAGATTTTGTGGCCGCCTTAGCGCGATTAAGATGCTTCTGGTTAACTGCCAAATGAAAAACCGGCATTAGGCAATATATATGTATTAGGTAGAAAAAAATAATTCAGCTAGCTCAGTTAGAAAAGATATCATTTGAAGAAAAAAATTCAAACCTTTTCCTCCCGCAACATCTTTCAGTTCATTTGCTCCTACTTCAACAGCTTTTGCAGCAAACTCGGGACTCTGCAACCAAGAATACAGATATCAATCAGTGTTACAAGAAGTAAATCCAGTAACGAAGACAGATGGCACTAAATCTAGCATGCTTAATGCCCATGAAACCATACGATTTGGCCTCTGAGTAAAACCCATGATTTTTAAAAGTAGACATTCTTTTAGTATTTGCATTGTCCAAGGAGAGACGGCCATTAATCCATAAGAGGAACAAGCACCATTGTTACTTGAGCTTGACACAATGTGTGGAGCAAAGGAAATTAAAAAGACCAACAAAAGGTGAACTCACCGAACAACCATAGATGCCAAACAATCCAGTGTTGTTAAAGATGCTAGAGAATGCAGTGCAAGATTGAACCTGCTGATATTCATTCAAGACGCGAAGATCTGTATCAGAAGGAGGAAAAAGAGTCATCATGTTAATAACAGCTAAGTAAATTTTGAAAATTAACAATGATATAATGAAGGTCTGCAGAATAAAACTTAAAAGGAAAAACAATGAAAAAAGATAGCACTTACACAGCCACGAGTGCATCCCTTTCCCAGGCCCTCCAGCAGAGAATGAGCCACCTCCTCCCATCAGCATCTAATAGGAATTGGATTGCATCAATGAATATAAGCGTGAATTGCCTAGCGAATTGAAGAAAGAAATTGATTGGAATATATGCAAAATTCCGACACAGGTAAAAGGAACTTTTTGAGTAAGACACCTGAAGAACAGTTGCAGTGACGGCTTCTTTCTCGTTAAACCAGCCGGGTACTTCAAAAGCAAGGGCAAAGTGAGTGGCCTGTGAATGACAAACAAACAGCCAAAATTGTATTTGTGATTAAAAAACCACCTTTAACTCAAACAGTCTCGTCTAATGACAGGAAATACATGAATACCTCTCCACCAGTATGTTGGCGAAAGTCTCCACCGACATATTGAGATTTTGGTTCCCCTGGGCAGGCTACTTTAGGAAGGTCAGAAAGTAGCGGCTCAGCAACTCGTAAAAGTTCCTGATGATCAACTCCGCTTGCTGCGAGTACCATTTGTGCAGCAGTGAAGTTCTCCTGAAATTCTCAGACCAAATGAGAAAGGCATGATAAACTAACCAAAACTAAGTAGCCCAAAAATGGAAATAGCATATTTTTCAAGTGCAGATTGTTTTCAAAAGTTCTTGCAGTCTTACAGCGACAAATTCCTCCAGAACATCCCCATTCAATCTGTTTAATGCGGACTCAGGGGCATACAGTGGATTTGCCAATGCACCCGAATAGCCAGCAGAGTGAACTGCTTCCATGAGAAACCCCATAGGGTTTTTGGACAGTTCCCCGATCTCAGATTTCACCTTTTGTAGCTGCAAGAAGTGCATCGAAGCATGATTCACAAAGTTCTCAACTTCTGACATAAAGTTTTCGTGAGTTACAAAATAGCATACGAGAAAGGAGATATACCTCTTCATTCACTTCCCAATCCAAGAACGCAGGGTTCCTGACACTGTCAACAAGTACTTCCACCATTTCAGGCACATAGGTTTTCAAGGCATCAATAGTATATCCCATCTGCTCCCGGGATGCAGAGGCCGACGTGTTGCCTCCAATAGCCTCTACTTCCCTTACAAGACGAAGATGGCTTCTGTTCAACGTGCTCTTGAAAGCCATCCTTTCAAGCAAGTGTGTGGCTCCATGAGAATAAGGTGTCTCATAAATAGAACCGCAATTAACGTATAAACCAATGGAGGCTGCCGGATTCTGACAAAACCACAACATAACCCTGATCATTCACTTTGAAAATTTCATAGAGAAGCCGAGATTACAATACTCACTGGTGACACCTCTGAGGCTACTTTTAGCCCATTTGGAAGAGTAGTGACTTCAAGTTTGCTTGGCTCAACATGGTCGGCAAGCGGTGGGGGAAGAGACACGCCCTTCAGTGGGATGTACATCGAAGGAAGCATGCTAGACGTTTCACCGGTCAACCAGCTGAACAATCCCCCTGACGAAGAACTTGTAGAAACAGCACTCGAGCTCGCATAGCGTGCTGCCCGCAAATTGCGGGTAACACCGCCCTATACAACATGAACCCGGACCATCAAAAACAGAAGCCTTTTGCCTCGATCAAGGGCAAACCAGACAGACAGCGGAAATAAGCCTATCTGCCTCAATGAACATGTATTGAATTCATGATCCCAGACTAAACGAAAGGAGAATATCAAACTTGAAAGTAAAATTGATTCATTACAGCCATTTTCCTTAATCGCCAATTCGCCATGGGCAACGAAGAGTTATCAACCAACACCTCCAAGACGAAGAAAAATGCGGAAAAATTGGAAACATGGTACCAAAAAGCTAAATCCATGGATTCACAAGCAAGGATCACAAAGACACAATCTTCACAACAGAAACCATTTCGGGCCACAAAAAAAAAACGAACAAAAAGAGCGATAACCACCCATCAGAAAACCAAATGTATCTAGATCGTGTCCGAAACAGCACTGAATAGACAAACCGTTGAACTTCGAGAATCAAGAATAAAAACACAAAGCCAGATACGAGGAGACACTGACCTTGAGGGATTTAGCTCGTAAAGCTGCCGAGCGGTACATGGTGACTAACTGCCAAACCCTAGATCGGAGGTCAGATGAGTATTGATTTCGGAGTGGACGACGGTGAGGGGATATTACTCAAATAGCCGAGTTGGGTCGTATGAATTTATCGCACTCTAAACATGTTTTGAAACACTCTAAAAATGTTTAGACGCACTCTAAAAATGTTTAGACGCACTCTAAATATGTTTCGACGAACTCTAAAAATGTTTCCAAGCACTCTAAACATGTTTGGTT